TTTATGAAAATTTTGTATGGCTGTAGGTGTTGAAGTGAAAAAAAGTCCTGGATCTCTAAATATAGTACAGAAAGCATAATATGCAATTCTCAAAGAATAGTTAAATAGTTAATGAATAAATAGTATAAATAGTTAAAAAGTATGCTTTAAGTTTCTAACAGATTAACTAAACAACTTGAGTTGACAGAACACAATACGAAAACTGTGAAATATAACACATTTTAGGAATTTTGCGTGTAGTGGCATTGTAATGTAATGAACCCTTTTTGGTGGGAATATGTAGAGCTGGGATAGTTTAGCCACAGCCAAGGTTTTTGCAAGAAAAGTTGTGTTTTAACTCGATTCCGATGTTGTGGGAGTTTTTGGCTAAAAACTGCGACACAACCAACGCTGTGTGATCCGATGCGTTATCGTGATGTAAAATCCATGAGTTTTCCTTCCATAAATAAATCTGGCCTCTTTTTGCGAATGGCCTCACGCAAAGGACGCATAACGGCAAAATAATACTTCTTATTGACCGTTTGATCATCCGGAAGGAATTCATAGTGCACCACACCACGAATATCGAAGAAAAGAGTCAGCATAACTTTTATTTTGGACCGGCTTTGGTGTTCTCTTTGCGGTTTCAGTTCACCTTCGAATAGTCGATTGTTGTTTGGTGGTCAAATCGAAATATCAAATTCATAGACCCATGTCTCATCACCAGTTATGATGCGTGCGATGAATGTGGGGTTACCCCACATTTTCAACTAGCGTTGAAAATCATCTCTTTGGCCACATCACAACGACGCTTTTTTTGAATGAAATTCAGCTAAAAATCGCCTTCTTTGTACAGACGCCAAACAAAAACTAATCGTACGATATGCGTTAAACTTTGACAGTATGTGTATAATAGTGTTGCCAGCGTGAAAATAAAAAATTTACCGATTGGATAAGCGCGGGATTTTTTAAAACCCTTCTTATTTTATCACAAGGTAAATTTCTTACTATTTTTCTGGTTACTAGGTTCTGATATATTCTCGTCTTAGGCTATACCTTCTACAGAGGACTTTCATAGAGTATTATTAAAGCCTTCTGACAACTATTCAAGCTCCCCAACTCGTACGATACACATTATATCGTTTTATCCCACGCTCCTTGAGTGCGTCAATGTCAGCCTTGTATTTTTAAAGAACAATGACCAGTTTCTTTGTAATTAGTTCGGACATTCTAGGTATGTATTCTTAAATCGTGTTCTTTAAAACGTTTAAGAGTGTTTACGCAAACTCAATCAGTATATGGTGTCCTTATCCGAGGGTTCCTCTTCGTTTTCATTCGAGTTATGTTTTTATATGGTTGGTTCTATTAGGGAAAATCTTATATATACTAATTCAAATGTTGAACAATTTCATTGCAATTACTTGTTTGCAAAGTGATCGGATTGAACTCGTATTGAATGTGTTTTTATGTTTTTTTGCTTTATATGTATAAATAGTGGCTTTTTCTGCGTTTTTCTGCGTTGCATTTCTACTACAGCCTTCAAATCAAGTAATATATGTAGTAGATTCAGATAACAGAGACCAACTATGTTAAGAGAGAGAAACTTATAGTCAGTAAGTTACACGCGCTTGAATTGCGGTTCGAGCAATAAAAATTGAAAATCAATATAGAGAAATGGAATAAATAACAGAGTAGTATATAGATAAAAATGAGAAAGTCACAAAATGAGATAAAAATGAGAAAGTGGAGATAGTTATAGTATACGCTTAGCAGAAGATCTGCTGCTCCAGTGAAAATGTGGAGAAGGACAATCGAAAATGAAGTAGCTAAAGCCTTATATATATGGAACGTCATCTATAGAGAAGCACCAAATAGATTCAGATTTGAAAGAATTGATGAGGCCTTATGACTCATAAGGGGAGGTGGACAATAGTAGTAGTAATAGTAGTAACATATATAGTTAAGTGTTTGCTTATAAGATTCATTTTTATTGTATGTGTATTAATCATGTTTATTAGTATTTCTAAAGGATTTAGATAATATTTATATTTTTTGCATTTTAAATAATTATATAATATATATATACATACATATATATAATGTAGTATATGTAATGTAATAACTATAATATAATATTATATTAGGCCTTTTCTTTTGTAAGCATATTACAAAAGAACAACTGCTTACTTTTAAAATAACATATGAAACAACAACACTGCTGGTTTATTTAGCTCAACCTTTTTGAAATTGCTTAATTAATATGCAGGGACCGAAAATAACAGTTATTTTAAAATTTTTTATGAAAAAAAGCAGCAACAAAAAGTTGTCTAAACTCTTATTTAAGTAAAGAGTTATCATTCTAATAACTTTTATCCTTAATATTATGCATGCTTTTTATATATGAGCTTTTTAAAATAAAACTCAAAAAATAATAATTAAATTTGATTTTTATTATATTCATCAAAAATAATAATTATTATATGCCTTTTATTTTTTTCGCGCAGAAATAACTCTTAAAATTTGCTTCTTATTTTAAAACGCACAAATAACTGGTATACTTGCGTTATATAATATAAAAAGCAAGAGTATAAAATGCAATTTTCATACAAGGTAGTTGTTTTTGCAATTCAAAAGAAAAATTGTTTGAAAAAGGTTGGTGCAGGTAAAGATTTAGTTCAGTTTTTTGTTTTTTTATATTATATAACGCAAGTATACCAGTTATTTGTGCGTTTTAAAATAAGAAGCAAATTTTAAGAGTTATTTCTGCGCGAAAAAAATAAAAGGCATATAATAATTATTATTTTTGATGAATATAATAAAAATCAAATTTAATTATTATTTTTTGAGTTTTATTTTAAAATGCATATGATAACAGTTATAAGATGATTTTTATTTTTTTTATGATAACTGTTACGGTCCCTGTTAATATGCAGCTGAAATCACATGTGTTTTCCATATATAAGCCGAACACATAAGTGCTTGTTTTATTTGTTCTTTTGCGACATATTTATAAAAGAAAAGGCCAATTATTATTATGTTATATATTCTATGTTATAAATATAATTACATACAAAAAAAAATATTGTATAGACGGGACGCACATAAAAAAATAATCCTGTCATTGCTAGTTTTTCTATATTTTAAATTATAATCGTTGCGATGTTTAGAATTTTTGCTTGAACTCTATATAAAATATGACATAAGACGCCTTCGGTGGCTCGCAGGTATGGCAAAAAACAGCAAGTTACTGTCCTATACTGGTCGAAATGTACGCAAAACAGTAACACTGTTTTTTCTATCTAGGCCATTAGGTGTATACTCACTTTCACCTATTCACCATACTTCAGCCAGTAAAGAAAAAAGTGTGAGAACCTTCACTGGAAATTCCAAAGAATATTACAATCATATGTCAAAATTCTTGTATAAGCAAAAATTGAAACAAAATTAAAAAATTTAATGAATTTGTAAATTGGTAAAAAAGAAAAAATTTGTTATTTTGTAATTTATTGATTTTGTGAAATTGTTTGATTTTTATTTACTGTACGTCCAACAATGTCGGACAATGTCAATGTATTCTGCTTTTCACTTGTTCTTGGCATTTGTTGAAACTATGCATATCGAATATAAGTTATATTTTACAAGCAAATAAATACGTAAAGAGAAATCAGCTGTTCTAAATACTTTCAAGACTAATATGCACAAAGTGTGTTCACGATTATTTGAGTTTGCAGTGATGCACATCCAACGATGCACAGACATCCTGAATACCCCTGTGGCAGCACCAAAAAATATAAATAAAAGAACTGTCAACAAGGCACAAAGGAGACAACAATAGCCGCAGTTCCCGCCAGTAGTAGTTTGGAAAAAGACAAAGCAGCACGTGAATAAAACGTAAAAACACAAATCTTAACTTTAAGAATATTTTATAATAACTAAGTATAAGAAATAAATAAACTTATCCATTACCAATACGGAGTGTTCAATTCGAAATAAAACCCAACATAAAAAACCACTACACCCCTATTAATTATTTATTTTTATACAAAATATAATGTGCTTACATTATGTGCACATATGCAAGATTTACTATTTGCCAAAACATAACACTTGACGATTATAGGCCACCATGCATTTTTTGCCACACCTACGAGCCACCAAAACGCCTATAGTTGATCCAATAAGGGGATTGTAAGTACGCTAGTACACTCTTCTACTTTTGAGCTCATTGATACACTGCAAGTTTTATATATAAACTTGTTTAATAACACTTTTGATCACAGTGTGGCGAAAAGCACTATGCAGTTGAACTTTGAAATTGTTTACGTTTTACACGGAACAGCAGATAAATATTTTGCATGATAAATATTTTGATTAATTATCAATACTTGATACATTTGTCAAGTTCACAGACGGATTAATCAGCAATGATGCATCGATACTTTTGAATCAACCATCGGTGCCACTACCATACCAATTAGGAAAACAATCAATACATATTGATATCTAGAAATACTGAAAAACATCATTGCAGTGAAGGTACTATAAGGCTGGACATATATAAATAGAATAAGGAATACAAAAAACTTGTGTTTAGAAACAAATAAGTATTTTTTAATAAAATAAATTATACCGGAACCTGATGTATTATCTGGTGTTGTTAATAAGGCAGTAAAGTTTTTTCATTTGAACTGCACTTATTTTTACCTATTTCTGAAAGAAAAGATCTTCCAAGAAGTTAAATCATCCCAACAACTTCAGCAGAAGTCCTTGCTTTCATTTTAATTTTAATCAAACCGTTTTAGTAGACGCTTTTAATCATACCGACAAGTCCATTATTCTACCACAAACATGACAAGTTGACAAAGGCGCTGTACACCAATGTTTGAAGGAAAAAATCGTTAAACAACATAATCGACAAACGAGGAAACCGTTACTGTTGCAAGTAACAGCCTTGTTTGTCCAGCATTATTCATAGAGTTAAGTGTAAACAGGTTATTACTTTGTCTGACAACTCAAATAATTTTTTGATTTTCATTTTACTATGATAAAATTAAAAATGAAAAGTTTGAATATTGCTTTTAAGTGACATTGGATAAATTTTGATCTTGAATATTAAAAATGCTACTTGGTTCTGGTTTAAGTTTACAATGTCCACATGCAAATAATGCAATTGTTCCTAAAATAGACGTAAACAATTTTAATAAGGTTAATTTTTTATTAAGTGCTCAATTTTAAGAAATTACTTATGAATTTATTGGTTTCGACAGACATTATGTTGCTCTACTTGTGATTACTCGGGTCCCAATCTTTGGATTTGTTTGCAAAGCAACTGTCTGCGGATTGGTTGCTCTGAGAGAGCAAACGATCACAGTACCGAACATTTTAAGGTAAATAATAAACATTGCTTACATTTAAACCTTTCATCACAGCGTACGTGGTGCTACATGTGTGAACGTGAAATAATATTCGAAGAGAAGTTAAATCATAATATTCAATTCGATGAAGCCATGCCAACATTAGAGTTTTCCCAGGAAAACGAGGATACACCTGTACAAGCGATGGGCCTTGTCGGGTTACAAAATATTGCTAATACTTGTTATATGAATTCTGCTTTGCAAGCTTTGAGTAATGTGCAACCAATGACAAATTACTTTCTTAGTTGTAGTGAATTAGGTGAAGGATCGATTGAATTGGATCCTTCTAGAAATAAAGTAGGACTTGCTAAAAGTTACCAGAAGCTGATGCAAGATATATGGCGTAAGAGAGATGAAAAAGGTAATGAAATGTTTTATATGCCTGTAAAAAATTTAATTATTTATATTATATAGACTTTATTACGCCAAGAGATATTTTGCGCGGTATACGTAGTGTGCAACCTATGTTCCATGGATTTCAACAACACGACACACAAGAATTTTTACGTTGCTTTATGAATCAATTACATGAAGAATTAAAAGGTCAAAGTCCATATTTGCAACATGTTTATTTCAAAAGTGATGACACTGATAAAAATCAACTCAATTCTGATTCGGAAGATTGTTTATCATCGGTATCTAGTTCAAGCTGCGAACATTCTATGTCTGAAACTGATTATGAAACATGTGAAAGCAGTGTTTCCGATAATATATTACTTGATTTAAAATCATGTGCAAATAACTTGCGGAGGCGAATACCATACAAGAAAACTAATTCTAACTTAAAATGTATAAATGGTTCGCAGTCCCATTCCACCCATAGATCAATAATTACAGACTTATTTGATGGGAAATTACTTTCTTCTGTACAATGCCTTACTTGCGATCGAATATCGACAAGAGAAGAAACGTTCCAAGACCTATCGCTGCCTATACCTAATAGAGATCATCTAAATATGCTACACCAAACTCATAGTGTTAGTGCCCAGAGCATTAATTCTTTAGATTCAACAGCATCAACTACTAACAATGGATGGCTGTCATGGATATGGAAAATAATACGATCGTGGATTTGGGGTCCATCAGTAAATTTACATGACTGTATGGCGAGTTTTTTTAGTGCCGATGAATTAAAAGGTGACAATATGTACAGGTATGTTAAGACTAAAAATGTATTATTATAAATGAATAAAAATAAAATATTTTTTAAAGCTGTGAAAAATGTAATAAATTGCGCACTGGAATTAAATACTCTCAGATTATTGAGCTGCCAGAAGTCCTTTGTATACATCTTAAACGTTTTCGACATGACTTGTTATATAGTTCTAAGATTTCATCTAATGTAATTTTTCCGCTGGAGGAGCTTGACATGAGACCATTCCTTCATAAAAATTGTTCCTCACAAATTTCCCTCTATAACTTATCGTCAGTCATTTGCCACCATGGTACAGTAGGAAGTGGACATTATACCTGTTTTGCGCGTAATGTTTTAACAGATCGATGGTACGAATATGACGATCATAATGTTATAGAAGTTCCTGCTAATTATGTACAAAATTGTCAAGCATATGTTTTATTTTATCGTAAATACAATCCTCATATAAAGATAATAAGAGAAAGAGCAATTGAACTATCTGATACTAATCCAGACCTTTCAGCTGATATCCGTTTTTATATAGCACGTGAATGGTTGATCAGATTTCAAACGTTTGCTGAGCCAGGTCCAATTAACAATTGGGATATGCTGTGCCCTCATGGTGGTCTTATTTATTCAAAATTTGTTTTATTGAATCAAATTGCTGTCCCAGTTTCTCAACCTCTGTGGGACTATTTATATAGTATATTTGGTGGTGGTCCAGTAATTAATATGATTTTTGAGTGTGAGGTGTGCAAACGAGCTATAGAAGCTTTGGAACGTCGTCAAAATTATGAGCTACTAGTTTTTACAAAGTACAAAGAATTTGATAAGAATTTTGGTGAAAATGCAATATATGCAATATCAATGCCTTGGCTTCGTAAATGGCAACACTTTTCGCGTGGGCTAACGCATAAAACGCCAGGTCCTATCATAAATTCTAATATTGTATCAATTTCTGATACATCGCGTTCTACTTCACCCATTCGCAATGTCCGGCCAGGCTCTGATTATGCTCAAATAAGTGAACCGTTATGGAGATTTTTGCATAGTATATATGGAGGTGGTCCAGAAATTATATTAAAAAGCTCGCCAGTTGAACAAGTATGTTTATTTTAATTTCAATTGCATATTAAAATACATTTGTTTTTATACACATTTAGACAAAAAATATTGATTGTGATAAATTCGTTATAAAAAACAGCAAAGAAACTGTGGATAATTCAGACACTGAGAGTAATGTAGAACAAAATCTTCAGGAAGAAATTGACAGAACATCAAATGAAATATACGAGACAATTAATGATGTAGAAATGAAAACTTCCAAAGATTTGTCAACACAAGCACCAACTATTAGCAAAAACGATTTAACTAGCAATTATAAGAAAATTTCTCGGAAATCTAAAATGCAAAATTGCAATTTATTTGGCACTCCTGGTAAATTAAACTTGTTTTTTCATGGATTTATAGACAATAAAATTTTTTTTATTTTTTTGAAGGGAACTATGTTATACAGGATGAATTTAATAAAGTGGAAAATAAAAAGAATGAGGATGATAGCTTATTATCCTTTCAAGATCAATCATTCTCACCGGAAGTTAAAAAAACAGTATCTTATTCAAATAGCAGTGGTAACTTACGAAATCGTCGCAAAAAATTTAGACCCAAAGATAAAGTAATGTTACAAAAGTTTACAAGTTTGTTGGATGATGTCAATTCTACTGAAGCGGATGCTTAAAATGAAATATTGTTTTTACAAATTTCATGCGTGTTTTTGAAGATATCTTTCATTTTTAATTATTTATTACAAAACATATTTGTTACACAATATATTTTTGCTAAGGTAGAGGCTACTTTGCAAATATTGTATAAATAAAGTTACATATATTTTTAAAGAATTACATTGGAAATATAAAAATAGTGTGGTATATGTAGAATTTAAATAAATTAAATTTGCAACAGTAATTCCATTACTTTTAAAAAGTCTTATAAAAATGATGAATAAAATTGGTTGTAGTAAAAATATATTTTAAGATAAATTTTAGACGTGCTATTACATATTACATATTGTGTAGCGATTATTGTGCACCCTGATTAAGATAGTTTAATTGCGCTATCATTGACATAGATGATCAAGAAGGCAAGGAACAATATTTCTTCTAAAACTCAAACTGTACAAACTGTACTTAAAATACAATTTAATACAATGATATATAATATTTTAGTTATCTAAGTTCAAATTTTAATGATTTTTCCATATTCATATTTTATTGAAATATGTCAAATGTACATATAGGTACCAAATACTTAGGTATTTCAAAAATTGATTAATCCAAAAATAAAAAACAGGAACATGTTTTTTGCTCTTGTTCTAATTTATGCCTACGCACTATTCTCTGTGCTTATGAATTACGAAATATAATTTATATTCCACTTAACAAATAATTATGCTATTTTGCATGTTGATTACTGCATCACAAAGCACATGTTCAGATGTCTCATTTCATCCATTTCACATCAGCGTCAGATATTAGTCTTTATGGGAACAATTTTTTTGAGGCGTTCGAAACACCTTATGGTCCTTATATGAGTTAGCCTGTGTTTATTTAATTTTTATGGGATATGATCGGATATTAAGCCTACTGCCTTATTGTGTTAGCATATAAAAACTGAACATTTTAAGCTATTTGAGCCCTTTGACTTAAATTTTAAATTCTATTTAAAGAATGCTCGTACATCTGACTGAAAAATTTAATCTTCGTTGGCATGTGCTGGACAGTTTTTCTCATAGCTGGTAAGTATTTTTGAAAGGCAAAGTCAATCTATTAGTATGGTTTCCTTACCGACAATGACCTTTCAGCAAACCCACTGTAAGGATGATTTCATGGTATATCGTGAGCTTGAGGCACCCTCTCTTGTCAGTTCATTTTCTCAAGATATGTAGCTTTTTATGATGACATCTGACCTAATATACCTGTAGGCCTGCTTTTCGTAATCTCTACCACAAACTTTAATGTGTATAGTACATTTCACTTCAGCGGACCTTTGTTTAACCTTGTTCCACTGCATAAAATTATTGATTTAACTTTTGTTGTGAGAAAGACCAATAAGTCATTTTGATTCTCCATACAAAATGCTTTTGTAGTTTAGTTGACAGTGTATCATTGGTGCAAGCATGACTTTATCTTTATCATTGTATGGCTTCTTTCATATGGGATATTTTGTGTTCTTTAACCAGAATCCAGTATGGAAGAAAAATATCCTGTTATTTTTCAATAATAAGATATAAGATAAGATAAAAAATGTCTAAAATTAATAGCTAATATAATTGATGTGTTGTCAATTATTTAAATATATAAACCATACCGCAGCTCTGCACATATATAGCTCATATCATAGACTTGTTTTTTAATAGAGGCCCTTCCAAATAACTCATTCAACTTTATGCTTGGTGAATTTAAGAATACGATTTTCTATTATTTTTTTACTATATAGTAGATTTAAAGCCATTGCGCTGTTGCACATTTTATAAAAAGCATCACTTCTTCACTGCTTATAAATTGACATCTCCGTACTGTTTTTTAATAAAGGTACTGTATTGATGATAGGAATTTATTATCTGCAGACTTACTTATAGGTAGACTTATTTTAATGTAAGTAAAATGTATTTTGTTTGTTATGGTTCTAGTAGTAAGTCAAGGTAACGTGTAAAGCAAGTTCATAGAAAGATAACAGGATTGTATTATTTGGCGGCAAAAATACGGCGGATTTCAGCCTAACCCAGATCCATGTGAAGTCTCGCAACGTCAATATGCCGGAGCCATAAGTCAGTAGGCTCAAAAGGCTATTAGATATCGGAGGATATCTTAACTGGCATTGTATTACTAAACGTTAATTTTAGACCTAATATTTTTTGTCTGCAGTCATTGGAATATTTGAATATTAGCATTTGCTTACAAATATATACTAATCTAATTAAGATAGAATGAATTCTGCATATAGAAGACATGTTTAACTCCGTGGTTTTGAAGAAAAGACTGAAAAAGCTGTTATAAAAGGCGAATAGCACTTACCTATATTTAAAATCACTGATGTGGACTTCGCTTCAGAACATATTTATGATATGAAGAAAGATTTTTATGGATGCAACATTGAAAGACGACTTTACTAACTGCAGAAAAGCCTGTAGAACTGTAAAAAGTCTTGAAACACTAGTAAGGAATAATTGGGCACTTTGCTATGAAGAAACAATCAATATTTTCTTCCAACACCTAAATCGATTTTTTCTACCCAAAAATGACTATTAAAATTTTCATTTTATTGGAACCAATGGTCTTCTCAGTGCACTTGAAAATTGAAAATAAACTCTATAACAAAAGAGTGTACTTAAACGAAATCACACAAAAATGATGGAGCAACTACCATCATTGTCAATAATTTGTAGTACCAGATTCTTTAATGTCATTATTAGTTCTAATTATAACTCAATCGATTGGAAAAAATTTTTGATCTTAAAAATCCATTAAAAAGAAAAAGACCATATAATAATTACTTTCCACATAACTATTAACCACCTACCTTATTTCTCTAAGCTATTTGAAAAAATATATGTGATGAGGTTGCAGTCCTTCCTCAGTAAATATATATTTAAGTGTAATGCATAAATCATTTATCTCCGTCAACTCCATATTCTTATAAGTAATCGCCTTATCACTTCAATTTTCGCCGATGACTGAGCTATTGTTTGTACTCATAATAAAAGTTTTACAAACTACAAGGCAACTTGAAAATCACTTACTTTTACTGGAAGACTGGTTAACCCGATGGCGTATCCAAATAAATGAACAAATAAAGGAGGTGCTTCGCCAATTGTCACACTAAATAGCATTCCAAAACCCCAAGCGGATAATGTTGCCTATATAAGAATTCAGTTAGAAAAAGAATCAACACGACGAAGGACATCAAAGCAAAAAAATGCAAATTAATTTTTAAGCTATTAACCTTAGAATACAAAGTTTTCTTATAAAATCTCATTACATTGGACTGTAATACCAAATAAAAAGAAGAAGAACAGCAGCATTAAACCCATTTGGACATTGAGTTCAAGACATAAGTCTTCAACTTAATGGTAACCCAACAACAATTACAACAGGAGTTCGAACGCAACGGTTCTCGAGCGCTTTGCAACCATAGCTGTTCACAGTAAGCTCTTAATGTCAGATTAGGATACGTGTCAATGGCAAAATGGAGCTTGTGGATTGTGTGTGATTATTGCATCATCAATTGAAAAATTGACAATAAAAACAAAGAAAATATGTCCCAAATTCTATTGTGTTAAAAGAAGGAAAAGCCATATTCTACGAAAATTCATTTTGTCTGCAGAAAACCTCTTCAGGTATCGTATATAATTTCGGACGTATTTATTTGTCATCGATTAACGAATAAATATTTATTAAAATTAAAACAAACGTACTCTGCATTAAATGATTAAGTTTAATAAAGAATTTATATCCAATAACAAAGTATTATTTTCGAATAGAAATAATCTCGAAATATTGGAAAAATAAGAATTAATATACTTTCAAATGCAAACAAGCCTTCGTGGATACCAGCGATTAACGAAAATTTGTCGATCGAGGTAATTTACAAACGATTTAGAAAACCGGCGTTGCAGTATGAACAACTGCATGAGAATATGTATCACGTGACTTGATGTCTTAGCCTTGAACGGTGGGTTAAGATATCAACATTTATCACACTTTGCTCGTCATATGAGACTACAGATAAGTCATGCAATTGTCATGAACAATATTATTACTACAGAACATTACGAGGAATGAATCGTTTGTGCAAGGTCAGTATTATAATTGTTAAAATAATAATTACGTTTGTAAAGCAAGCTGGTATATGAACTTAGTTCAAGGCTGAAAGAAAATAAGTTTATAAGCATATACCGGGTTGCTAAGGAAATTACACAAGTAATATTCCTCACTTGTTATTCGTAAAAGGCATACAATTTCAATGAGAACTGTGATCGTTCCCACGACTAAGCTGAGCGATATCTAATCGCTACTTTAATGCAGCTTAAGGTATAGGGCATTATCGTAGGAATTGTATGTATCTACACCTTGCCAAATCTGTATAAAAGCCTAAAATTTTAATAATAAAAAACAATTCTATTCCAGAATTCATTGAGTTTAATTGGTTCAAGTGCTTATTAAAACTTAAAAGTAAATAGGTTAAAGTGCCTAGTTGGTTACGAATATTATTTGAACATACGGAAGTTGGTTCAAGCACCAAATTCACATATAGGAATTGGTTCAAGTGCCGGGTTCCTAATCAGAAGCAATACTGAATCGATTCAAGTATCGATTCAGATTCAATAACAAACCAGTTATTGAAGACATATTATATGGATCTTGCTTATAATTTACCTGTCTACCAACATGCAAAATTCCACTTTGTTTTTATTATTGCAAATTGTCGAAAAAACAGTTGTCTCTTCTTTGTTAGGAATGACACTACGTTGCAAAATATTTTTTTTGTTTTCTAAACATTGGCGAATTTCGAGTTGTGCCTCTCTTGAAGAGGGTGTGCGATATATACAACTTTGAACGAAGTACAATAAATTTCAGAAGAAAGTTATAAAAGTTTTTACAGTCTTATATACCAAGTTGTATATTGGTATACAGTAGAATTAAATTAGTATATAAGTATTACAACATGTATCAAATCTAACGTGTATTTTTTTAACCATTCTTGATTGACGTGTGCTTTGTGCGAAGGTGCTGAGTCCTGTTGGAATGTCCAACGTCTGCGACCAAAATGCTTATAGGCCCAGTGCTTAAGTGCTCCCTCTAAAATAATTTCCCGATAGACTTAGCCGTTTATTTTTACCCCACGGTCGATGATCCCGGCCAGGAGTGATCACGGTCGATGATCACGGACAAAGAGTGATCATCGGCCGTTACCATCGGTGGCGCCTGCTTTCTGGTGACTATTCTTATGTTTAAGTTTTCAGCTGACCTCTCTGACCTCTCTGTTCAGTTATGAATGGTGAGTCATCAGAAAAAACGAAATTCGATAACCCACAACCTTCAGCCTTTGGCGTCGCTTTTTCATTTTACGAATCATTTCTGATTCGTATCATTGTTATTGTTTTTTTGTCCACTTTCTGGGCGTCAGGCGACGCTACCAGCATCACGGTATCGAGCTATAGTACGAGATACAAATGATTTGTTCACATTAAGGTGATGGAGGGCTCGAACGATAGCCACTTGTGTTTTTCCAGCCATATATAAAGCAATCACACTATCACGTTTAAACTTCATCACATACAACTTCTTTCTTACAACACAAAAATTAAAATGCCTTCGTCCGCTTGTAAGACATCTGTCAAATAAATTAACTTTGAGCTTTCTGTCATTAGAAATTTGACAGCTAGATCTGTGCGAAGTTGTTGAAATTTTCATCAACCACCCTATATAGCAGTAAAAAGATTATTACAAGAATAAAAATTATATAACCTCTTAGCTAAATTGATCTAATTGAATTGAAGGCAACCGCCTCATTTAAAGGTTGGGGTCTTCCAGCATTCTGTCCATAAAGTTTTTGCCACTAATTGTACTAAAATTATTTAAAAAAAAAATAAAGTAACGCCAAAAATTTATTTGTCCATAAATAAAATATTGAGTTTTTACTAGTGTTCAATGTGGGTACAAATGTATACATTAATGTATGATCAATGTATACATATCTGGTTCTTAAAATGCGACTCTATGAATGCGTCTCTATTTTTAGATTCAGAAATATAGATATTTTTCCCATTCTTATTTCAGAAAATAAGCTGTTTAGTCTTATTTATTATAAGAAGTAGAAAATGAATAAGTGCACGATCTGTGAGAAAGAAACTAAAAATAAATGTTCTAATTGTTCACAAGCATTTTATTGCACTGCCGAACATCAAAAACTTGATTGGAAAAATCACAAAAGTAATTGCCATCCATTTAAGGTAATTTTAGCAGTATATTGAATAATGTGTGCTTTTATATATCATCTATCCCAAATTACTGTAAGTACCCTATTAAGAAACATTAATTTTAGATTGCACAAGATGAAGAAATTGGGCGATATCTAACCACAACACGTGACATTAAACCATTCGAAATTATATTGCAAGAAGAACCTCTGGTACGGGGTCCTTCACAAATCACTGCACCGGTATGTTTGGGGTGTTTAAATACAATTGATTCAAATCAATACATAAATTGTGAAAAATGCAATTGGCCGATATGTGAGGAGCAATGTGGGAATTGCTCAGAACATATAGCAGAATGTGCTTTTTTTTCTCAAAGGGAATACAAGGTGAGTTATTTATTTTAATGTATAGAAATTGAGTTTATTGCAATTCTGCACACAATTATCACGTTAAGTTTATGAATGTACACTACAATAGTATCTTATAGTGTTTTAGTTTGGTGTAGATTTTTATCCCTAATAATCATCACTTTTGGAAATATCAGGTTCCTTTATATGTCTTATAGTGTCGTGAGCCTTTACTAATTTTATTAAAGTACGTCTCTACTCTGATTTCGTCGAACGTGTTCCGTCAATAGTGCAATAGTTATTTGTGGTCACTTGTGTTTTTGCATAAATAAAAGAAAAATATGCGTATTATATGCATAGACTATATATATCGATTCTTATTATCACAACGGTGTCCCGCATCAGCATGTCCACGTTTGTTTACGTACAGGTGACGATATCTAACATAAAATGAATAACGCAATTATTCTACGATAGATTCTATGACGATTCTTCAAAGAACTCTGGTTTGTGATTCCTGATTGGTAGTCTGCGCTTAATATTGATTCCTAGATTACTGTGTATGAGATTGCATAATTCTGCAACCTGAAAATAGTGCAATAGTAAAATTCAAGTCACTTTTTACTTGAATTTTAGTACACGTAAGGCAACAGACCTATTGTTTTCTATAAGGTAGTCTGAGTCAGGTGATTTCGTACAGCACAACGAATTTTGTATTTAGTTACGATATTTTTACTTTTTTGTATCATATCATAGCTGCTTTAAAATAAAACAAAAAAAAAAATTAATTGATAGTATAATATTGTAACAGTAATGCTTCGTCAACATTTTGGGTGTTTTTATCTATTTTGATTGTTTTATTTTTTAAATTTTATTTTCGTCATTTAGCTTATATGACAGTTATATCTAAATTTTAACCTATTTGCCAAAATTTTTAAAAGTTATGAGAACGATAAATTTGAATAGTTAATATTATTTGTGCTTACGAATGAAGGAGTTTTACCTAGGTATATAAATTTTTTCAGATTACCATTTCTACTTTTCAGTAAGAGACAAATTTCCAATATTCTGTTTCGCAACCATTCCAGTTCATAATACATTCTATAGTCCATAGTACATATGTTCTTTTAGGACGTTTTGCCAAAAGACCCTCCATAATTCCTTTTTTTTACACTTCTTTCGTCATACAAAGAGCTTCGAACCGAAACGTAAACCGAAAAAATCAATATTTTTACCAAACCGAAACCGAACTGAAAAAACGGGTTCAGCATCGTATATTATCTGTTTATTCTAACTCATTTTAGAGATATATTTTTTCTTAATAAAATTCGTTAGGTAGGTATGCTTTCTTAAAAGATAATTCATGATAATAAAAGTAATTGGTAATACAAAAATGCATTTGAAAAATGAAATAAACCGATATTTCTCTGCAAGAGTAAAAACCAGAACCAATGTATTGAGTTTATATCGGTTCTAGTTTATTTTTATGTATATATAATCCTACCGACATAAAAATTGTACAATTAAGTAAAATAATGTAATATCTGGTTTGTAAATCCAATTAGAATAAGTATTGGAAAATTCTGAATTTTATCTTTTATTGACAGATGATATTATATACTATATATAATGTATGCGTTATAAGTAACACATATAAGAAAATTGTGCTGTGTTGTATATAGAACGTACTTTAAAAAGACAAATTTTTTTAAATGAAATTAATATTTTTTATAAGCATTTCATTTTTTTATATAATATAACTGCATTTTATAATATAATAAAAGAAAATGTTTAATTGCTTATTTTATGTATTGAACTAGGTGAACATTAAGGAATTTATTAATCCTCATCCGCTGTATCAGTGCGTTAGTATCATAAGGTGCTTACTACTAAGTGAATCAAATCCACATAATTGGAATAAATTTGAACAATTAGAATCATTAGAAGAAAAACGTAGGGGATCCATGCAATGGAAAGCAGATGTAGACCACATTGCCGCTTTTATACCAAAGTAAGTAAAATAATGTACCTATAAGTGAAAAAGGTTAGTGTTAATTATGTAAATTTTGTAAATTTTGTAAATTTTTAGATTCTTTAAAACGACCAAATATTCTGAAGACCACATTATGAAGTGTGTAGGCATTTTTCAAATTAACGGGCATGAAGTCCCAACATCTGATCCTCCACATGTTGCTGTTTTTCATAAAGCCTCATATCTTGAGCATTCATGTACTCCAAATTTGGTAAAGACCTTCACAAAAAAGGGAAAGATCATTTTATGGGCGTTAAAACCTATCAAGAAAAATACTCATCTTAGTATATGCTATACGGATGCTGTATGGAATACTGCTGAGAGACAAAACCATTTAATGCAAACGAAGCTCTTTGTATGCAAATGTGAACGATGTGTTGACGTATCAGAGTTAAACACAAATTACAATGCAATCAAATGCGGAAATGCTGATTGTAAAGGCTTAGTGTTGCCAAGTGACCCAAAGTGTTTGGATGCAGTTTGGAAGTAAATTAATTAATTTATTGTATACTTTATATATATATATTTATAATTTTTTGTATTTGTAGTTGCAACAGGTGCAACCGCTCAGAAGAAAAATTTAGTGTTAATAGAAAATTGGAGCAAGCTAAAGCGGACTTACAAGCAATGGATAAAACAGCAAAAAATTGTTTGAGGTAAAATAAAAACGATTTATTAAGACCTATTAATCATTACAACATTGAAATATTTAACTAAGACGTCATCTTATGCAGAGTCGTACAGCTGTTAAAATCCATTTTAAGACTAAGTTCAAATATTTCTAAAAAAGCAAATAAATTCCTTTTAAATATGTTACCCCCTTTAAAAAGGCAGAAAAATATATAGAGCAACTATTAACAAGAAAGTCTTATAGTCAAGTGTTATTCCTGGCCTTAAGTTCTTTCAAAATTTCTTTAGATATACTGGATACCTGCTGAACGCTATGTGGCAAAATAAGCGCTTCATTGTGTGGTGGGTCCGTAGACATAAAGGACAAGAAGGCAAAAATTGGGGGAATTATCTCGCACAAATGAAGGACACAACTTCAATCAATTGGAACTGATAAAGTACATAGTCTGCACTTTTTATCTCACAAGAAAGAAGAGTTATATAAATTGTCACAGCGTGTTTCAAGAAATTTTACTTCCAGATCAATTTTCTGTACCGAAAACACTAAAAAAAACTCCATAAATAATAGTTTAAAACCTTGTAAAACAATTAGGGATATAACTAGAAACTTTTATTTGCTAGTGAATAATAGCTAGTGCTAATTCATTTTGTTGGAGCTAACCTTACAGTGATGTAATATGTGGTTTGTGGTTTTCAAGCTCATTTTACAAAACATGTCTCACTATGGTCAATTTACCGGTATCTATAAGAGTACTAACATTAAACAGTAACATTTAACAGTAATGTTAATAACGTTCTGCTCTACGGCTGCGAAATCTGGTTTACCACCAACAATTTGATCCATAAACTGCAAACCTTTATAAACATATGCCTCAGGGGAATTCTGAAAATTTGATGGCCTCTCACTATTAGAAATGCCGAACTATGGTCAAGATGCCGCCAACTTCTTATAGCAAAGGAAATCAAAAAGCGTAAATGGCAATGTATCGGGCACACTTTGAGGAAGGCACCAAATGAAATCTGCAAACAAGCATTAACATGGAATCTTCAAGAAAGCAAAGACCTGGTAGGTGCAAGCAAACTTGGAAGCGAACACTAGAGAAAGAAATCCAAGCAAGCGGAAAAACCTTTGGAGAAATTAAAACCTTGGCAAAAAATCGTGATAGTTGGAAAAAGTTCGTTATGGCACAATGTTACCCTGGAAACGTACCGGAATGAATAATAAATAAGAGTAATATATATAATGTATATTCGGTTGTTACCTTCAACCACCCTGACTTCAATTGTGCTTCCACTTCCATATACATACCTGCATGTGGTTGATGCACTCATTAAAACAGAGGTACTGAGATTTACATCTTTACGGTATTTTATATTTTAAGAAATGCAAGAACTTTTTAATATTTTAAATTCTATTATTATCTATGAAGACATGTGAAGATATATCAATTAGATAAATTGCATTCACACTTAAGGTTAGAAGCTGAATCACTGGACAGTCTAACATTTTTTTGTTCTGATGAGTAAATCAAATCCTGTATAAATTTATCGTTTAAAATTGTAAATAAATTATGTGCTTTGATAAGCGACATTGTTGACATATGTACGTACACATAGTCTATATCATTTTTAGTGCGTAATTGAATTAAAAACTGAACAATCATTTTATTAATGCGATAACAACGAAAATAATAACTACACGCGATTACACATCATAGCTACGCTCATTCATAAATACTCGTAAATGAAGGTACTCAAAGGGTTACAATAACTATATTATGAATTTATGTAAAATATTTTAAATTACTATTGATTGTTGCTAAAATTACGTTCTTGATAAATAATAAACCTGTGTAGTATGTAATACCTATACAAATAATAACGACATAAAAAACTTCAGCTGCAGTGTTGCCCTCGATCCCGCCGCTGTTATCAAATATACTTCGGCAATGACATTGCAAAATAGTTTCTATTATTACGTATTTTTCTGAAACCTTTGTGAGCATATGTAAAACCAAGCCAAAATTTTTATAATGATAACGATATACAGGGTTTTTCCTAGCTGAAGAAAAAAAAAACAAAATAGAATTGTATGAGAGAAAGGGTCGATATGAAAATAATACTAAAAATATAATACTTAAGAACTAGATGAGTTCTATTTTTCATTAGTTTATCTTTTCTTGTTCTATTACCTCATTGTTTGCAATATAAACGTACATATAATATATTTTTGGTAGTAGCTAATGGATTTAAAGAAAAAGGCCCAAACAATGGAAGCTTTCATTTTATCTTCAATTAGTATCCAATTACTTTTATTTTTTCTCCACACTATCTAAACACATCGCTTAAGACGTGCATAGTAAGTAAATTATATGTATTGAAAGTAGTATCAGGCTAGTTTCTTATTAGTCATCTTCTTCTTGTACATTAAATCAAAGTCAATGTTTTAAGTATAGACTATACACATACACTTTTAGTTCTAGAAAAATAATACTAATATAACTATTTACGCTTATGGGTATAGCCACCAGCGAATTATAAAGCGCATTGAAGTGTTAGTGCTTCATAAAAGCCAAATTGGGTAATGGCCATACTAGATGGGGATATAGACATGTGTGTGTTTAAAATGTTATTAAGTGCAAGGACTGATGAAATTTAAAATAAGGACCGTTTCCTTAGTTAATTATTTACAGTGGAATGATAATTTTTTTGCTCTTCTGGTTTCATATGAAAAGAAATTATTTATGCCTGAAGACCCGCCCTTTCCCCACACAATTCCAGAAATTCGTATTCTGGCTGTGCCTGTATCCAACCTTACAAAATCAAAATATTAATTTCATTAAATTGAGCATTTTAAGAATTCTCGTAATTATATTTTTTTGAAATTTTTTAATTGCTATCCTTAAAAAAAATTTTTATTATGATGGACGACACATTTGTCACGTGGTAAAAGACATGTCGCAACCCTATAAATCTTATATATATTTTTCATCAACATAAAATTTTCATTCAATTTATGAATGCACATTCAGTCTCTCAGTTTTAGAGATAATTTACAATTGAATTGGTCATTTGAAGATTGGTAGACATGTTAACTTATTTACAAATTTATACAAATTCTTAAATACTCATATATGGTTCGATGCTGTGTTATTTTAAAACTGATAAAAATTAAAATAATATTTTATATATTGAAACTAATTTTATAATCCATTTTCAGATATTTAAATCACTATCAGAAGTGGCTACCATCATTTCACTATTATATGTGTGAAGTGAAAATTCATTTAGTTCAGCTCTTGGGAAAAGATCCAAAAGAATTGATGGTATTATCCGAAGAACACCTCAATATGAAAATAACATATTCAAAAGAACTTATTAACCTATATGAAATACTTGCTCCCTGTAAGTCACACATACTTTTTAATTAAATATAGTCATGATTACTTTTGTGAATATTTTAGGTGAAGTAAGACTTCTTGGTACCTTATGTTTTGAACTTCATTCTGCTATTGCTGAACAGACTAGACGGATCTCCTCGCAAATGAACACAACACCAAAAGCATTATTGGAAGAATCCCTACATTACGTTGAGAAATGTGTAAATTATTTGCAGTATGAATCAAATATATTTATTGAAGGCCACATATTGCAACAGGCAAGAATCAATAGAGATGCCTTAAATATGGTCTTAAAACTATGAAATGTTAAATATAATAAAAATGAATAAACATGTTTGAAACTATATATAAATGTGTGTAAATATATATATTGTCTAGTTTTAATTTTTTGCGAAATTCTTCTTATATAGATTATATATAAAAATTTGGAGTATTTATCTTGAGTTTCACTCGCACATGTCCACGCTCAAACGCTTAGGAATAATAGTATATAAAATAAAGCACATACTCGTACTCGTAAACGTTTTCTGCTTTTATCGTTGATATATAGAAAAGGTTATTGATAGCTTATCAGTTAATGCCAACAAATTATAATAGGCAAATAAATAGTAAACGTTGTTTATATATAAATATTAAAAAATTTAGTTACCAATTTTAGTCAGTTCAGTTTGTGCGGTTTGTCAACTTGATTATAACTTGAATAATACTTCTAGATTCACGGTGGTTAATTAATAATTTTTGGGCACCATTATGGGCTCCTCAAACGAAGTGGAGGATAAGGAAAGTTCCTTTTATAAAGCGAATATTATGTTTGAAAATACAAATAACAAAAATGCCGAAAAATCTAAATTTTCGTAAGTTCAAATTATGCGAAATGATTTCAACTTGATTATATACAATATTTTTATATACTTTTCATAACTTTTACAATCGAATAAAATGTGACTTAAAAACAACAAATTGTTTTGAAATTAGCAATATTTATTAATTGAATAGTAAAGTGCGAATTATGATTAACAAACTGGGAATGAGTTGACATTTTTTCAACTCTGATTATTTTTGATGGATATAATCTTTTATTACATTTTATTATTTTTTTCAAATGAAATCACACTGTATTGAATGGCCGCGGCTAGATCCTAAATACAAAAAAAAAAAAGCTAATAACATAAAATATTTAATTAAAGCAGATTCTTTTCACGTGATAAGAAAAACGATTCCAGTAAAGAAGGCTCAAAGGAAGAAGAGAATGATGATAATAAAAAGAAGGACGATATCAAACCTGTGGCATTTTTCCAAATGTTTAAATATGCTACAGGAAAAAATCGCTTAATGTACTGCATCGGAATTCTATGTTCTATAGCCACAGGATTAACTACTCCCGCAAACAGTTTGATTTTTGGAAACTTAGCTAATGTAAGTGTAAATTAAGCAATCTTCTGTATAAATTAAAAGAAAACGAGATAATACATAAATACCTTACTTTAAAAATTATTTATTTATTGTATATTTTACAATAATAATCAAGAAATTGATTTTTTAAAAACATTTTTCGAAATGTAGTACACTACAACAACAAAAATTATTTTTATATTATTTTAATTAATTTAATTTTGTTTCGAGTATTGCCAAATACCCATCATCAGTGGTCTTCAGAAATATTTTTTATATTTAATTATTCGTAAATAATTTTTTGAGACTGCAAGTACCAGGAATTGAACTCGTGCCCTGCCAAATTTGAAGCTTAGAGTTAGCGCACCTTAACCAACTGACTCAAAACCATTCTTGACTTTTATGTTTACACAATTTTTCTGGAGTTTTGTTAATTTGCTGTGAAAGTTTTAACAAATTAACTTGCTGTGTTTATATTAGAACGGAACCAACTGTAGAATAATTGAATTAATTAATCATATTTTTATTTTTATTTGCTAAATTTCGATATTATTATTTTTGCATGATTTATGTGATTTTTAATAATTTTTTAAACAAAAGTTAACATCAAACTTTTCCAACATTCTTGAATCCAGAGTATAACAGATAAATTTACTTTAAAATGTAGTGATCGGTATTTGGATAGATAGCTATATAGATGGATATATATTTATTTAACATAACATTAATAAGATTAGATTAATTTATAGTAACAATACAAACTATACTTAACACAATCACAGCTGTACTTCACAATCCACACCTTTTGGATTATATATAAAAGCCCCTAAATCGTGGTTAACTAATCAGGGAACTGAAATTTATTTAAAATGTTATTAGAATAACACAAGTATTAATATTGTATTTTTAGTATCTTATTTTTATTACTTACATTAGTGCGTTGTAGATTGCTATTGAAAAAAATCAATATTTATGTATTTGGCTTTGTTCACGTGACATTTTTTAGATTTACTTATATCAAAAGACTGTACTTAATCATTTTTAAAATTAAAACACGTTATATCAGTACCTGTAATTGTAGCGTTCAGTGCTGAAAATATTAATCAATAGACGATTTATATTCTATCCTAATATCTTTATCTTGCTTTATTTTACTATAATTTTACTATAATACTATAATTTCTCAAATACCTACTATATAGAATAAGTACTGTAACTACTTATACTCCTCTGAACATATGAGGTATATATGGTATATGAGGTGCAATAAACTCTTTGCTATTTTACCTTATAATTATTTATAGTCTAAATAAAAGTATTAACTGTTAAAAATATTATCTATTCAACTTTCTCGAACTTAATAAACTTTTAAAACTGCAAATTTAAAAAAATTATATTTTCATCAATAAACTGACAAAGTACTTTTGCGGAAAAAAGAAATGATGATGTTATATATTTCATTTATTGTGTAATTTTATACAACGTTAACGAATTAAAATTTAGATGTACTAATTATCTTTATTGTTTTAAAGTTTTGTATAAATTATAAAAAAATCAATTAACCCTTATCAAAAAAATGGTGTAGATAATTAAATTATTATGTATTGTAGATTGTTTTCACCATTTTAAATTAGGATTGGATAATATACACGCTGTTGAATTACAATACTACTGCGATATTAAATCGCAATAGTTGCATTATTTATATTAAGATTATATATAAATTATTCAAGATTTTCATAATCTTGAATCTTGCACGTTTGCAAAAAAGAGAGATCGTCAGTTACGGTTTTACACATTATTATTATCAGAAAAAATACCAGCTTAACTTCGCCAGGTTGTTAATAGAATTAAAGAAAATTGGTTACAGGTCAATTATATTATAGTAACTAGTAAATATCTTTCAAATGTCTATACCGTTATGCACAACTGTCTTAATAGTCTAGACCATGGATGTCCAAAGCATGTCCCACGGGCATCATGCGACCAGCGGCTTATATTTGTGCGGTGAGCGACATGTTTTCAATCTACCACATTAGGCAATTTTTTCTTTGTTATATTTTGATATTTATTTTGATGGTAATCCCATATAAATTAATTAAAATATTTTATATAATTTATTACACTTCACGTGAATTTACTTAATTGACAAAGACTTAAGTATATTTTTATTTGCACAATGGTTCAAATACACGTGTCCAGAACCGCAAGTCATTTCATTAAAAATTAGATATTTTTTTATAGCCACAACTAATATCAATAGTAATGATATTGATAGAATTGTAAAAGATAAATTAATGAAGAGTTAAAAATATTATATTTTTGATTATCACCGAATTTTTCATTTTTTCCGGAAAAATTTTAAACGTATGTATTTATTTTTGCGGCCCTCCAGTCTATTGAGAGATTTGTATTGGCCCGCGATCTTATCTGGTCTAGACAGCCCTGGTCTAGAGAAATGGTAAGGAACTGCGGTTGATCCAAATAAAATATAACACAAGTAAATGCTGTCCATCTATTGTTTTTTCAACTTCCAGAGTGAATCTGGTTTTAATCTTAAACATAAAAGTATCTAACGGAACCGTCTGCGCTAACTTCTTATCGCTGTAATTAGACCTATTGCTGTACAAAATTTCTTATTGTAATTATAAATTATAAATTATTGTAATTATTGTAATTCTAAAAATACGTGAGATTATTGCTCTAAATCATTTAAACTATTAAGACCTTTAAAGTTTGTTTGAAATATATATTTCAATACGTAAAGTTGTTTTACTTCGAATATAATATAACATATGTGTACAATAGGACAAAGAGTAAAATTTTTCAAGATTTAAAATTTGTTTAAGTTTTAGTTAAAGAGGCTTAGTATTCAGAAGTGTAGGTTTATCTAAGCCACTAGGCATGGAAGAGGTGGAGAAGAATGGGTGGTATGTGAAGCTAATGGGACACTGACCCCTATACGATTAAGTAACTTTTCTATTCGTGCAACTATACTACACCATACTGAAAACTGTACGTTTTAGCAACTTACTTTATTTTTAAACATATAGTTATAAATGGACCCTCTAATTTCCTGAACGGTAGTTGAATGTTGATTTCATGAAAGTGCATTTAACTTTTCAAATACATATATACCAGAGCTCTAAACAGCGCTTTAACTCTTTAGCATGGGTTTAACATCTATGGGGATCCCGTTTATTTATTTAAGAAATTCAGGAAATATTTTTAATCCGACCTTCAAATTTATGTGTCTTTATATATTAATTAACAGAAACCTGTAAAAAATATTTATAAAATCTGACTATCTATTAATGAACGTTTAATAATAATAAAAAAATATATATATTTATTGAGAGAAATTCATTAATTTTAATTTTTACTTCAAAGTATTAATTTGAAATTGCGTAAACATTACAAAAAATGTGTTAATATTAATATATTTATATATTTATTATATTTATTTTTATACTTAATTTATACTTAATATATTTACTTTTTCATATATACAGTCTATGATTTACTTTGGAGAGTCCGTTATTGGCTACACTAGAAGTGCTGAGTCGGATGCTCTTTTGGATGCTGTGCAGGAATTCGCTCTTCAGAATACTATGATCGGAGTAGTTATGTTAGTGTGCAGTTACTTAGCAGTTACGTTCTTTAATTATTCTGCTCATGCGCAAATTTTACGCATCAGGGGAAAGTTTTTAAAATCAATACTTCATCAAGATATGGAATGGTACGATTTTCATCAAAGTGGCGAAGTTGCAAGTAGAATGAATGAGTAAGAATAGAATAAAAATTGTTGCTTATGTATATAAAAATCATATATAAATTTTTTTCTTGCTGCTGAATTATAGAGATTTGTCGAAAATGGAGGATGGATTAGGCGAAAAAGTGGCTATGTTTGTACATTTTATGGTTGCATTCGCTGGTTCCATCGTTTTAGCTTTTATTAAGGGTTGGCAGTTGGCGTTAGTGTGCCTTACAAGTCTTCCAGTAACTTTTCTTGCAATGGGTTTGGTCGCTGTAGTAAATATCAATACCAATTTTCTTATAAACATATATCGCCATGCTCTTCTCTAACAATTCGTTTCTTTTAAGGCAACGTCGAAACTTGCAAAAAAAGAATTAAATGTCTACGCTTCTGCAGGCAATGTTGCAGAAGAAGCTATAAGTAGTATACGGACGGTTAAAGCTTTTGAAGGGGAACAAAAAGAAGTTAACGCTTACAAAAGCCAAATTGTAGATGCTAGGAATCTCAATATAAAACGAAATATGTTTTCTGGAATGGGATTTGGTTTGCTATGGTTTTTTATATATGCATCATATTCTTTGGCATTTTGGTATGGTGTCGGTTTGGTCTTAAAAAATTATGCTGGCGATGAGTACTACTCTAACTACGACCCAGGTACAATGATAACTGTAAGTTACTTTAGAACTCTATATGCAAGCTAAGTTTTTAATCATATGCATTTAAAGGTATTTTTTTCGGTAATGATGGGATCGATGAATATTGGAATGGCTTCGCCATATATTGAAGCATTTGGTATTGCAAAAGGCGCTTGTGCTAAAGTTTTTAATTTAATCGAACAAATCCCCACTATAAATCCAATAGAACCGAAAGGTAAAGTTTTGAATGAACCGTTAAATGAGATTGAATTTAAAGACATTGAGTTTGAGTATCCCACACGAAAAGAAGTACAAATTTTAAATAAATTAAATCTTAAAATTCACCGTGGCCAAACTGTTGCTCTAGTTGGTCCATCTGGTTGTGGAAAATCTACGTGTATTCAGTTAATTCAGAGATTTTATGATCCACAGGGTGGTTCAGTTCTTTTCAATGGTGTGGATTTAACCGAAATTAACATCAATTGGATAAGAGAACGAATTGGTGTAGTAGGACAAGAACCTATTTTGTTTGGTACATCAATTTATGAAAACATACGTTATGGAAAAGAAGATGCAACGCGAGAAGAAATAGAAGAAGCTGCACGCGCTGCAAATGCGCACATATTTATAAAGAAATTACCTCAAGTAAGTCCGTCACAAAAATATTGGAAATGTAATTCTCTATTTAAACTTTCTTCTAGGGCTATGACACACTTGTCGGTGAAAGGGGGGCTCAATTATCAGGAGGTCAAAAACAACGGATAGCAATTGCACGTGCTATAGTTCGAAACCCCGAGATCTTACTTCTTGATGAAGCAACGTCTGCTCTAGACACAGCTAGTGAAGCCAAAGTGCAAGCAGCATTAGAAAAGGTATGTATTCATCTTTCTATTTTCGTAAACCATTTAATTAAATTTTAAATTCTTAGGCGAGTGAAGGGCGCACTACAATTATAATAGCACATCGACTGTCTACAATTCGACGAGCAGACAAAATTTTTGTTATAAATAAAGGCGAAGTAGTAGAATGTGGAACACATCAAGAATTAATGGACCTAAAAAAACATTACTTTAATTTAGTAACAACACAGTTGGGCGATGATGTGGCCATAACTACACCTGGAATCGATCAAGCCAACAACTTTTTAAATTTGAAAAAGGATGATGATGAAGAAATTAATGTATACTCGACTGAGGAAGAAGTAAGTCTTTCATTCCATTTAATAACAAAAGTTTTTATTTATGCATTTGGTGGTAGGGGTTAAAGTTTGTGTACACATTGACAGGATTTTTAAATTTAATGTTGTTATACAGCATATGGTATAAAAAATGCTATAAAAAATTTTTTGTGTTTTATAGGACTTTCAAGCTGCGAATATTAAAGCTGTTGCGAACCCAAACTTAATTTTTTTCTTCATTTTAGTTCGTCTTATACCTATGAATAGTTCAATCCATTATTTAATAAAAAAATAAAGAATTAATATATATTTTAATTTCTTTATATATTGCAGTATATAAATGTATTTCATATTTTTTTATTGTATTACTATATTATATTATAAAATCATTTCTTATAATAATCAATTTTAGGTTATAGAGGAGGAGAAAAGCATTAATTTTTCTCTTGTATCGATATTAAAAATGAACTCTACGGAATGGCCCCAAATTTTATGCGGATGTATAACATCTGTAATTATGGGTTGTGCCATGCCCTTGTTTGCTGTAATATTTGGTCAAATTCTTCAAGTTTTAGCTGATAAAGAGCATCCAGACTTAGTGCGTGAAAATTCAAATCAATATAGTTTATACTTTTTGATATGTGGAATTGTTGTCGGAATAGCTACGTTTTTGCAGGTAATATTACTTCTAGTGATTTTTATATAAAATATATAATTAAAGTAAAAACCTTCTTTTAAAATAACAGATATACACTTTTGGAATAGCTGGAGAAAAATTGACAGAGCGTTTAAGGGGGCTTATGTTTGAATCAATGTTGAAACAAGAAGTTGCTTGGTTTGATGATAAAGCCAATGGTACTGGCAGTCTTTGTGCAAGGTTGTCAGGGGATGCGTCCGCCGTTCAAGGTGTAAGTTGTTTGTAACATAATTTAGCTTTGATTTGATAATTTACAATCATATCTTGATGCACTTGAAAAACAGGCTACGGGACAACGAATTGGAACAATTATTCAATCACTGGCCACTCTAGCTTTGGGTATTGGATTGTCTATGTATTATGAATGGAGTTTAGGACTTTTGGCATTAGCTTTCGCCCCTTTCATATTAATAGCAACATTTTTACAAAGAAAAGTTATGGCTCAAGAAAATATGGGAACCGCTAAAACAATGGAAAAATGCACAAAGGTAAAACTTTTTATAGTGTTTTTTACTTCAATATAAAATATACAAAAATTTAATTGTTGCATCATATTTTATCAAATTAAACATAGTAATAAGTGATTTTGTTTCTTTAAAACGTCATTTAATAACGTCATTTACTAACGTCATTTAATAACGTCATTTAATAATGTAATGAAATCAAGCTATATTGAAGTGCGCCACTATATGTATAAACCTTACTGCAGACAGTGCTCAATGTGGCTCAAATATACGCATATACTTCAAAATAAGCAAAAGTCAAAGTGCCAGCTAAGAGTAACTAAATGACAAATAAAAAATAATAAAACGTACTAACTCATTGCACTAAACACATGAAATAAATGTGGGAAAAATTGTTTTAAAAAAAGCATTTGCAGTATTAAATTTTAATGGTATAGTACTAAGAAAAAGGGACGGCAAACATTTTAAATCAAATACCTTGTATAACCTCCATAGAAATAGTATAATAGAGACATAATAATTTTGATATATGATGGATTAAATTTAATCTAGATCGGCTGATACAAACAGGTCGATCATATCCATGTTTCAATGGAAAGAATTTCTATTACTGTTTTTCTTACATTTCATTAATAAAAACTGCAATGATTGGTATGGATTTGTATAATAGATTTGTGTGTTTTGTTTAGTTTAATATCGTATGCCAATATTTATTTTATTCTTGACAAATGATATATCCAAAACTTTACAAATATCGTTTCTGAATACGAACCTATATTAATATATGCATGTTAAACGTGATAGCATCACCATTAAAAAGGGTTATTCGCCATGAATAATTATGTTTCAATTAAAAAGTCTGCCTTCCGTTCTTTTTTCCGGGTATTATTAATATCGCACGAAACTGGGAAAGTGCCTATTCAAATAACTGTAAGTTATGCGCAGGTGAAACGATATTGGCGTTATAGATAATAATTAATTTGAGATAACTAATTTGAATGAGTAATTATCTTACAAAATTTAACTAAAATATAACAAATGTACGTTGAACTTATTTATTTAAAAACAAGAATAATAATATTAATACTGGTGGTTTCATATTTTCCCTTTTGTGACTCTACTAATTTTTTACAAAAATTGAAGCCTTTTCTCACCACTAGGTATAAAAGACTATTTCTGAATTATATACTGCATTGGGATGCATTTTGATTAAAATAATTGACTCAGTATTCTAAATAAGTTGTTTGGCGTTTGGTTGCAGAAGAACATATACAAATCCCGTGGTCGTTACCCCAATTGCCTTTGTAGTTCAAAACAGCCGCTGTGCATTCAGACTATATACAGTAATCTCCGCGGGGTATTCTCGTATACCCCGTATACACACGTGCAAAGGTACGCGAAGCTATTTATGAACTGTACAAATCTTCGCGTTATATGGTAGAATGCCCGTGTTATACGGGGGATTGAAAGCGCGTAATATGAAAGCGCGTTATAAGGGTACCGCGTTATAGGGGGGATTACTGTATATTCTTTTGGTAGCAGTGGATCTACAATGTTCTGTTTGCCATTTAGTTTAGAATTTAATCTTTCTCTACAGAAGTTTAAAATAGCTTCTTCCTTAACGTGTTTTGGGTTAATTAGCTTTTAAAGTGTGCATCTCTACTTGAGAAAAACTGTGTTTCATCATAAGTCTAGAATCTTTACATGAACTGTAAAAAAATGGTGTGTTTTAGAGTGGTCTGAAAGCTGTACAGGTGAGTCCTCTGTTGAATATAATGTGAAGAAGAATCCTGAAAACATTTTACTGACAGTTGTTTCTTAATGCTCTTGTAACATTAAACATTGGTCTATAAAGTCTATTGAATGCTATTTGAGCCTCATTTTAAATTACATTCGGTCGTTAGACTACGAAAATTTAAGTAAACCTATGTTTTATCATATAATTGGTTGGACTCGTTTGCTACCGGCTTCTCCATATCATTCGAAAGAAAAACAGAGACAGAGAAAAATATAGAATATTGTATGTGAATTGTTATTTAATATTAATGTATAAGTAGTGTACCAAATTTTAAAGAACACTTCTTTAAGGATTCCTGTTCTAACTGCGGTTATATATAATTTTAAAAATTTCTATCCATATCGTATTACTATAATTGCTGCTAAATTCCAAAGTTGAAAAGTGATGTACTTAAATTATTCTTATTTATATATATTTTTATATATATATTATTCTATATATTTTGAATATACATATATTAATTTTTGAAACAGCACTTCCAATATTTTTAAAGTCATTTAATGGATACTTGATGCTTTTATTAACAAATTTGCTTATCAATACAGTATCTAACTTCTATGTTAAATTGTTGACAGTGAGTACACTATGACCGTTTCTTGGGTTTCAGAACCCTGTAAAATATTTCGGATCATTTTTCACTATATTCAATGGACGTTCTTTAATAATATGTTTTCATATGTATTTGAAATTAATTTTAAAAACCCGCTCCTTAAGTAAGTTACACAGAAAACTAAAAGGTTTTTCAAAATATGCAAACATTAATGCTTTGTCTTATTGGGAATGGATGAATATCTATTATTATATCATTTATTGAGAAAATTGGGAGACAATTACTGCATTGCGATCACTCTGATTACGGTCATTGCAATGTGGATCGCTGTGATTTTAAACCATGATTGTGATCACAGTCCAGTTTATAAAATCTAAGTGTGCTTATTTGTCTTTAATCTGAACCCAAATCACTGCTTTCTGAACAGTAATCGAAGTCACAGTGATTGCAGAGCAATGTTTGTTGTATAATAATTGATATCGTTGTGCTTTTGATAACAGTGCTTTTACGTAAATGCTGTGTTCTTGTATTGGGCCTCTCGCCTAAAGCCTTCTTTTGTCCTTATGGCTTTATTTCATTTCATTTATTTCATTATTGATAAACATTTTTTAAGGAAAAAGGTTTTTACCTTTTTAAAGGTTGTATGATAGTAGATCATACATCTTATGCCATCTTATGCCATTTAAATTATAATAATAACAGCAGGGTTTCGAACAGGAAATTTCGATTATCGGTTTAGTTCTGGTTGAACATGCAAAAATATCGTTTTCTTTTGGTATTTGGTATAGTACCGGAATAATAGAGCTGCAGCTCAATTGGTCTATGTATATAAAACCATGTCATTAAATTTATATCTTTATGTATTTTTCTTTATATCATTTTAACTTCATTAACATATTAAATCTATATTTTTATTTGGTTTAGCTTGCAGTAGAAGTTGTATCTAATATAAGAACAGTCGCGTCATTAGGCAGAGAGGAAATGTTTCACAAGCAATATATGGAACTGCTTACTCCAGCTGTTCAGGTAAATGTTAAATCGAATTACAATTTACGTACACACTTTTAAATAAAAAAAAACATTTATTAATTATTACAAAATGATTTATATCTACTCACTCACTTAGTGTGATATATATTTATACAATATATCAAATAAATTTCCTATTATAAAATATTGTTCTGAATTTTATGGAAGTATTCAACAATAAATTGTACTTGTATGTGTTATTTTCAAATTAGTTTAAAATGTAATTCCTTTCACTTAATCAATACAGCTGATTAATTTATTTATAAATTTCGATGTATTAGAAAGCTAAAAGAAATACGCATTTCCGAGGTGTCGTTTATGGGTTAGCCAGATCACTTATGTTCTTTGCATATGCCGCTTGTATGTATTATGGTGGTTGGTGCGTTGTAAATAAAGGAATGGAATTCGGAAATGTATTCAAGCAAGTATCTATGTCCTTTGTATCATATGGCATACTAATTTTTATATTTATTTTACAGAGTATCACAAGCTTTAATCATGGGCACTGCATCAATAGCAAGTGCTCTTGCATTCGCACCTAATTTCCAAAAAGGTGTTACTGCTGCAGAAAACATTTACAAACTTTTACAAAGGGAACCGAAAATTGTAGATAATCCTAACGTTTCTTTAGCACCATGGTATTCTGAAGGCAATGTATTTTATAACCGTGTCAGATTTAACTATCCAACAAGAAAAGAAATTACTGTTCTTAATGGATTAAATCTTGACGTATATAGAGGCCAAAAGATAGCATTAGTTGGGCCATCAGGATGCGGCAAATCGACATGTATTCAGTTATTACAGAGGTTTTATGATGTGGATGAAGGATCCGTATCAATAGATAAATATGACTTACGAAATATATCTTTAAATAACTTACGTCGACAGTTAGGTATTGTATCTCAGGAACCAATATTATTTGATAGATCTATTAGCGAAAATATTGCTTATGGTGATAACACTCGAATTGTTGAAGAACAAGAAATAATTGCTGTAGCTAAAAAAGCAAATATACACAATTTCGTTGCGTCTCTTCCTTTGGTAAGATATTTTAGAATAAAGTAAAATTAGCCAATTTTTTTTTTAATTTTTTAAACTTTTTAAATTAAAGGGATATGAAACTCGTATGGGAGAAAAAGGAACACAACTGTCAGGTGGACAAAAACAAAGAATTGCCATTGCCAGGGCGTTGATAAGAAATCCTAAAATATTACTATTAGATGAAGCAACATCTGCCTTAGATGCTGAAAGTGAAAAAGTGAGTATATCTTCACTAGAATTTACAATATAGAATTAACTTATAAATATGCTATAGATTGTGCAAGAAGCGCTAGATGCAGCTAGTGAAGGCCGAACTAGTATTAGCATCGCTCATAGACTGTCAACAATTATTGACTCCGATGTAATTTTTGTATTTGAGAGCGGAAAGGTATGTGAAAGTGGAACGCACAAGGAACTGATCAACCTACGGGGTCTTTATTACACTTTATATAAATTACAAGCAGGAGGAGCGTGAAATAACGAATGCTATACATATCTAATATGTAGTGAAACGATCAAATTATATGCATGTTTAATTTGTATAATAATTTATTTTATTACTTACGCAAAACTATCAGTCTTAGATTATATTATATAAGTAAACATAATTTATAATATTAACGAAATATTTACATTTTTAAGACATATATACATATATATTAATAAAGTTCTAAAATTTAAAAAATTTAAGTTTATTCATAGAGTGGTGGAACAACTTAGTTTACATTATAAATTTGTATACCTATTACTCTTAACAGCTCGTAAACATCGTCTTCTGATTGAAAAATAGACACAATGAACTATTCCAGAAGTTCATTTAAAATATAAAAATTTTTAATAAAAATACATGATATCTATTCATTAGTTGAAACATATTTAGCATTTATATTTTCTTATTAGATCATTTCTCATTTACGCTGGATGTTCATATCGAAGAGGGGAGCAAAGGTTTGTTTCAGAAAAAATAAAGGATAGTACTTTATTCAGTTTTTTTTTGTAAAAATATTTTTTTTATAGAATAAAAATATTAAAATAGAATTATATGTATACATATATTAGTTTTTGGTATTTGCTGATAAAATGATCGGCTCTGTCAGCTTTACTATGTAGCCAATACAGAAATTGACGTTGATTATATATGGATGTTAACACATGAATGTTCGATGATAATTTAGTAAGCACTTTTATTTTAAATATTATCTTATTGCTACTATAACTTAGAGTAGGATTTCTTCATTACGAAATGAAGAAACCACAGCCACCAAAAAATCAAAACTATTTTATAAGAAGAAAATTTATTAATTGACAATTTTGGCGTATCATTCCCGCCAGGACGTGCAGGTTGTGAGACATTACCATCGCGTCTTAAATGTACCTCGTTGATATCTATCATCTGCAGGAATTATTCTTTTTCTTCTTTTTTAATTATATAGCATTTGCATTTTTCATAACACTTGTCAAACTATGTGTATGGTTTAAACTAGAGCCGTACAAAGCACGGCTTGTGGCTAATGTTATGTGACCCGCGACATATATTTAATCTATTACAGTTACGTGAATTTTCTTTTAGTGTAATAATAAAATCACATTATTTTATTTGATATACTATATCAAGTAAATGAATTTAAATTGATAAATTAATAAAACTAAATTTAACATAACAGTGTTAATTTATTTTTGTCGAAAACATTTATGAACGTATGTATTTGGTTAGATCAAATTTATTTAAAGACTCTTTTCCTGGGAACTGGATAATATGTTGTCAAGATAGAAAAAGTTTTATTTAGGCGCAGGTTATTTAATGCAGGAACCATTACCTGTAAATGTTCGCTCGTTCGCAAGTGCTCGCTTTGGTGTGGATGCACCTTAAGGTGAAGATTCCCTTTCATTATGAGCACCAACTCCTCATAAATGGCACACAAAATAAAATCTAATAGGAAATGTTGAACTACAAATAGTCTTTCTACATTACACAAACATGTGTTGAAATAAAACTTCTTGCCAAAGAATGTCATACCTTTTGGCATTTCAATAAAGCTCGATACAAAAAGAAACTCGATGTATGGGTGCCAAACCAGTTAACGCAAACAAACCCCATGGACCGAAATTCCATCAACGAATCGCTGCTGAATCGCAACAAAATCGATCCCTTTCAGTCGTAATTGGTGAGGTTTGTAAAAATCGACTGTCACAACTTTTTGCCAATAGAGACGAGGATTTCTATAAGAGAGGTATAATGAAATTACCTTTAAATACAAATGCATAAAAACGAATATGGGTAACTGACTATCCAATGGAGCATCAAAATGCCAGTTCGCATTTTTTCTTGCGCTAAAAGTATACTACGAAATAATTAAAAATAACTTAATTTGTTGATGGGTTTTTTGAACAATAGTAAAATACAATATCAAAATTCTTATTTTAAATTAACTGAATTTTTATTTTATTATGAATTTTGGATTTTAATTTAAATTATTAAATAATTAATTATTCGAGTAATTAATAATCAAATGTAACGTATTTGAATACAAACATTTCCGCAGAGGAGACCAATTGTTGTCTTCCAAATGTATTGTAACTTTCGCAGAACCATAGGAAGAGACAGAGTACCAGCTCCCAACGGAACGGAGCACTGCGACCATGGTTGATCTTTTGTGCTGCAACAGACCCTAGTCGAACAGAAGACATTCCGCTTTCCGAATGAAAACAGAATGTCAACCATTGAGGACCTTCTAATGTCAGAAGAGAAGAGTAGTTCTCGACCCAGTGACCTCCTCCTGACCCAGATCAAGGCTGGGCAGACACAGCCCTGACTGCCCAGCAAAACCATAATCTCGAAAAGTTTGTTTTTTCGTTTAAGGGACTGTTTATGATTAATTGCGTGTTTATTTTAAAGTAAAGAATAATTTTTTTTTTTGATTTTTTTTATTTTATATATACAGTTAATATTTCATCGCTTAAATATTTTATCTAATATTAGCAATTTGACTTTCTTTTCACGTTTCGAAAATCTAAATTTTCCTTAAATAGTAAATAGTAATAATAATAAACACCCTTCAATGCAACAACCAGTTTAACAGTAGTGCATGCAATTTAAAAATAGTCCGAGTGGACAAATTTAACAAGAGTCAGCTCTGAATACTTTGAGTTTAACACACCCATACAGATGAGTTTAACGGTCATATTTGAATGTAGGCTGCTAGGACTAGTTTGAGACCAGTCCACTAGAACTAATTTAATGGTAGAGTCTTCGGACTACTTTATAATCTATACACAGTACACGTAATTGTAATTTTACTTGAGCAATATCCAACCAAATAGATATTGACTTAATGCAATTAAAGGAAGATTTGTAATTTATCGAAATAGTTGTTCAGGTAGGTAATTTGATTAAATGCAATGAACTAAAATTATAGTTTCTTAATATCATCTTTTGTCTACAGACCAATTAGATTTTTTTCATACATTTTAATCAAACCTATTGGAACTTTAAATCCAAATTTTTAAATAAATTACATCGTTTAAATATTTAGTAGTATGCTTTTAGCACAATCAAAAAATTTAATAGCAATTAATTCAAAATTGCATGTATGTTCTTCTATCTTATATATTAATGGAATTGAGGGGTTGTTCTTAACTTGCCAGCATGCGAAGATGTTAGTATCCGATGAGCCTAATATTAAGAGGATGTATTTTACATTAATTTTAATAGTGGTCGACTATCATTCAAAGAGTAAAGGGATTCAAATAATTTTGACAGAATATTAAATATCTGTATATATACATCATATTCATATTCTACGGTGCTTGGTGACTCGATAAAAATAAGAAAAGCAATAAATTCAATATGTGAACCGATGTTCAAATTCTAGTTAACTAAACTCAATGTGAACATTTCTGCAAGAATATGTGTTCCTAGTTTTAGAAAAACTCTAGCTGTCCCAACAGCTACTTCAGTCATCTATCAACATTCCGTGACATATATTTAGATTTAGCTCGAAAACGTTTCTTCATTTTATAACTAGTTTTGGTCTCATATTAGATTACAGTATGTATTATGTATCAATTTTTAAAATCTAGAATAAAACAATTATTTAATATTTTATTAATATATGTATATTATATATTTTAAAGCATTGATCCAATTTTAAATTTTATATGCTCTAAATACGGCTGTTCAGCTGCTTTAACTTTCTGTATAATTGATTGAAGTAAGCAATTATTTATCCTTTGGTTACAGCCTTTCAGATTATTTTGTTTTTTTTTTATTTATCTAAACAATAAAGGTACTATTCTAATTTACATATACTTTTAATTAATAGTTGAAATATTAAAACATACGTTCCACTTTAAAATAGTGAAAAAAAATTCGTTAGTCGAATTTATGTACAATGTTGTCGTATTATTAAATAAAAAAATATATAATATGATAACAGTAAATTTTATACGAAAAAGAATATAAGTAAACATCTTGTATTTCGTTCTAGATCCGGCTTACGATAACGATTAATTATAAAGAAATTATATGTAACAAATGAATTAGTTCTTCTCTTCTTTTTTCTGTTCGTTTGCAGTTTGATCGGTAGTGCTTTCTGAACTTGCGCTTTCACGGTCCGCTGACATCTAGAAAGGATATTGAAATATTTAATATATATACTAAAAAATTAATAAATAAATTTTACTTACCTTCTTGTATGCCATTTCAAATAGTTTCAGGGATGATTGTTGTAGTTGTGAAGTAGCTTTTCTAACTTGCTCAGGTTCTGCGGTATCTTTATTTGCAAGTAAAGTTCTGAGTTCAGCAATTTCCTTTTTCAATTTTTCGCACTGTGAATGAAATAAATAGTTGTTTAGAATTTAGTGTTAAAATTTTTATAGAGTAGGCACAAGGGGTATGGGATATAAAAAATCAAGACTGTTCACATTTTTTTTTATAATGATAGGTAGTTTGATAACCGTTGCCAAATAATTAAATTTTGTAGAAAAATAAAATTTTAAGATGTTATTGATTTGTCAAAAAACCAAATTAAATTTGGTTTTGATTAAAAATGGCTGGACATTTCTTCTCATTATTGTTAGTAGGATTTTACACTTGCTATTTATTATGAACCAATAATCCTAATATACTTATTATATAATTTTATGTGTAAAGGTTACAAAAATTACGAAAAAAAAAAACTCACTTCTTCTGATGGCAATTGGCTCTTAAATTCTTCCATTTTAGTTTCAGTATCGTGCACAATACTTTCTCCCTGGTTCACCAATTCAATTAATTCGCGTTTTTTCTTATCAGAAGCGGCATATTCTTCCGCTCTCTTAATCATATTTTCAATCTCATCTTTACTTAAGCCTCCACTGGATTGAATAACTATTTGTTGTTCTTTTCCTGTTCCTTTATCCTTAGCTGATACGTGAACAATGCCGTTTGCATCTATATCAAATACAACTTCAATTTGTGGTACACCACGAGGTGCGGGTGGAATACCAACAAGTGTAAACGAGCCTAACATTTTATTATCTGATGCCATTTCACGTTCACCTTGATGCACTTTTATTTCAACTTGTGTTTGACCATCAGCGGCGGTGGAAAACACTTGTGATTTTTTTGTAGGAATAGTGGTGTTTCTTGAAATCAAACGAGTAAAAACACCACCAAGTGTCTCAATACCCAACGAAAGTGGAGTGACATCTAATAAAAGTACGTCGGTTACGTCACCTGCCAATACACCTCCCTGAACAGCTGCTCCGACAGCTACAGCTTCATCTGGATTAACAGAGCGAGATGGTTGACGACCAAATAAATCCTGAACAACAGACTGAACTTTCGGCATTCGTGTCATACCACCAACAAGTAAGACCTCACCAATTTCTGCTTTTGAAACTTCAGCGTCTGCAAGTGCTTTTTGACAAGGTTGTATGGTGCGTTTTATGAGATCACCTACAAGACTCTCTAATTTAGCTCTAGTCATTTTAAGATTCATATGTTGAGGTCCAGATGCATCCATTGTAAGGTAAGGTAAATTAATATCTGTTTGTTGTGAAGATGACAATTCACACTTTGCTTTTTCTGCCGCTTCCTTAAGTCGTTGCATTGCAATAGAATCTTTTGTGATGTCAATGCCGCTATCTCTTTTAAATTCTGACACTAAATAATTAACAATAGCATTGTCAAAATCTTCTCCGCCAAGTAATGTGTCACCATTTGTTGATTTTACTTCAAACACTCCTTTTTGAATCTCAAGTATAGATATATCGAATGTACCACCACCTAAATCGTAAACAGCAATTCTACAAAGATGTATTAGAATCCACAAAACTATTTAATAATTTATTTAATATTTAATAATATTATTAACTTACATTTTGTCTTCAGTTTTATCCATACCATAGGCTAATGCTGCAGCTGTTGGTTCATTAATGACACGCAAGACATTAAGACCAGCAATCTGGCCAGCATCTTTAGTAGCTTGACGCTGTGAATCATTAAAATAAGCTGGCACTGTAATAACAGCATTCTTAACTGGGGTATTGAGGTATGCTTCAGCGGTTTCTTTCATTTTCATTAAAACAAAAGCCCCGATTTGTGAAGGCGAATACACTTTTTTGTCTGTGGCTGATACCCAGGCATCACCATTTGAAGCTTTAACAACTTTATATGAGAGGTTTTTAATGTCTTTCTTAATTTCTGGATCATCAAACCGGCGGCCAATAAGACGTTTAGTTGCGTAGAATGTATTTGCGGAGTTCGTTACTGCTTGACGTTTCGCTGGCATACCAACCAACCTTTCTCCATCTTTTGAAAAAGCCACATGAGAAGGCGTCGTCCTGGCACCTTCAGCATTTTCAATCACTTTTGCTTGCTTTCCTTCCATTACTGCTACGCATGAATTCGTGGTGCCCAAATCGATACCTATTACGGCGCCCTTAACTTCACCAGATCTAAACAATTAAAAAGATTTTGTTGAATTGTTTGAATAAACTTTCCCCAATCCATAAAAAAAACAACAGAAGAACTTTGATACATTATACGATATTATTGTCGCTTGCAATATTATATTATGTCTGTTCCACGAGCTAGTCGTAGTAAAACTCAAGTAAAATTTACATGAAAATTTGCTGGTGGAACGCACTTGTGTATACACAGTGTTACTCAAAGTTATTATGAGTAGCTCGTGGATCAGATCTATTATATATTTATTTTGTTTTTCATTGAGGATTGAGGTGAAACATTGTTAACTATATCTTAAAATTTAAAATTTTTTATTAAGTTACGTAATAGGAAACTCGTGTAATTTATGTGTTTAATTCAAATGCCGCCACACACTTTACTGCAATTATTTACTTATTAGAAAATTATTTACTTATTAGAAAATTATTTACTTAGAAAATGGATTATGAGCAAATGCAATTTCAGATCATAGTTCATATTATATAAGACGTTTTTCCTCCAATAGTTGTGAAAAGAAATTAATACAAATGTATTGAGATAAAATAGGAAAAAAAAGTAAGGAGCGATATTATTCTACTTTTATTGTGAAGATATTATCATGGTGTTGTAAATTTAATAGGACATGAGACCTAAAAACACTATTTGGAAATTAAATTCTACTACGGCGGTTTGCTTCGAGTGTTTAAAATATTCTACATATAATGACGCAATAGCGAATATAAATTTTGTAACACAGTAAAATCATTCAATCTCTACTTTAATTTTATTTATATAACACACAATACTATTAACGAAAATTTGTACCGGGTTTAGGGCAAATTCTGAGCACATTTTTATTTTTCATTGTAAATTACAAACTTACTTGTAACGTGTTTGCGAGAGCAACCCATTTTTAAGCAAAGGTCCTTCCTGTAAATAGAAAATATTATAATTTTTAAGTGTTCTAGGAATCGAAAATAAAAAATGTGGTTTAAAAAATAATTAGAAATACAATTACAAGTTTTACTTACAATCTCAAAACTTGAAAATTTTTCAGGCAGATGATTAGTGGCCTGACGGAATAAATTAGTACGAGGTAAGAGTTTCGACAATCTCAACATGTTTTTTTGTGTTTTGGTAATATATTTTATATTTTATTAGCTTTGCGTCCAATAGACAAATTGCACTTTTATTAAACCAGCTATCGGCTTTTAATGAAAAATCTGCACGTTTTTCTGCTCCAACTAATTATAACGTAGCATGAGCAAATTGGAACGGGTAAAATGAAACAGGTTTCACAAGCTGATATAGTAAAAAAAATTTGTATGTAGATAATCATAAGGTGTCTATGTTTTATAATGTCAAATATCAAAATATATTAATTAATATAAATCCGACATAAAAATGCTCATATTACTGATGAAATTTGTTTGTAATCATATTTACAGTTAAAAATTTTTTAAAAGATGTATCATATGGTAGCTGTCAGTTCTGATTTCTGTTATATATCACTATTTAAACAAAACTTAAGTTTTTTGCTTGGTAATTCCCTTTAGAGGTCATGATTGCAGTCACAGTCACTATTCATTGAAGTGAAATGAAATAAGCAGTCAAAGGGCCTTTACTTTTGTAAGCATATCACAACGGCTTATTTTAAAAATGACATATGAAACAACACTGTCGGCTTATTAAGTCCAACGTTCGTGAAATCACTTAATTAATGGTATGGTTGCCAAGACTAAAAATTCGTCTATTGCGAACAATTATTGAAAGTACATACGAAATTTTTAGTTAATTGTCAAGGAATGATTTCGTTAATTCTTCGTATTTTGTGTCGTCATTGTTCGTAACAAATACGTTACTTTTTCTATTTATTATTTTACTATTAAGAAGCATGAAAATTCATATTTTATTTACAATCATGTACAAAAAAATATTAGGCGGCGGTGTGGCAAAAAATGCATGCTGGCCTATATTACTATTGCAATCTGTCATTTGTTATGTTTTGGCAAATAGCTAATCTTGCACATGTACACATAAATTAAGAAAATAATATTTTGTATAAATATAAAACATTGAAATTTTTTACTTTTTCGCAATTTTCAAAATGATGACATTCTTGAATTTTTGTTTACATATGATTTTTGACATATAATTGCAATATTCGTTGAAATTTCCAATATAGGTTCACAATAGTTGGCTTATTGCCTTGGTAACACTTTCTTCTTTACTGGCCGAAGTGTGCAACGTGCTGCTTTTTGCCACACTTGCGAGCCACCGAAAACGGTTATTCTTACCAATAATTGCAAAAAATTATTAATCCTTTTCGAAATTTTTATTTTAAATTTTATTACGTGTTTTGTGAACTATTTAATCCAACCTACAAATCAAAAGTTTGACTGACACAATTTATTTTGTTTATAATTTTCACAATATATGTATTAAGCCGCTCCGAAGTGTGGCAAAAAAAGAACAAGTGGATTGATTAAAATCTCCAAAACATACACAAAACCAGTGTTCGTGTTCCCAATGCACAGGATATGGTCACGCACAAAGTATCAGGCTATGCCACACCAATACCATGATACGTGGTACTATATCACATCCTTCCAGAGGTGAACCTATTTTGATGTTGATAATTTATTGACATAACAGAATACCATGTATCTAGAGAGGTAAACTTAATAAAACCCGTAATCTTCGGTGTTATTTATTCGATAAATGAAATAAATGGCACTCCGTTAGTGTGTCTCTGAGACCTTCGGGTAACTGGCGGTCTCCAGTTGTAAGATAGTTTTGTCCGGGTACATCAGATCTCCGCCCGGATCGACACTAAACCAAAATAAAATAAATACTAACATTACAAAAACAAGCTCGTTAAAGCCAAGCGCTTTGAGAACTACAGTTTCCAAGATACCCACCTCAACTTCTGGCGATAATAATAGGGTACCTTTCAATAAAACAACGATCTCTATGCGTTCTGGCCCTCCGTGAAGACGGGCATTTCTTCGAGAGATATAATAATAGTTCGGTTAAATCTAAAACAGGTCCTCAATACTCCAAAGGAGGAGAAAAAAGAACCTATATCGAAGCGTCAGTGGTCATTAAATGAGTTAACTTCTAAACCTGATGCCAAAAAGGTAAAGTTCCGTGGCGATGCCATCACTACTAAGTCTGACTAAATCTGAACTCAAGCTTATAGATATGTACACTGAAGTCCTTAAAAAATGTCCATGTACGCTTCCCTAATATCGCGACAGCGGATGACCATGTGAATCTCGTTGCTTGCGCAGATCAACTTTCTGTTGATCTATTTCGCAGTGCCATCTTCAGAAAGGGTGAGGTTTGGCCAGATGCAAAAATCAAAGTCGTTGCTAAAGGGCAAATTCCGAATCGGCCTGGAGCGCGTTCCTGGATAACGTTCTAGATGTTAACTGATTCGCACATCTGATAGTATGCCTTTGCAAGTTGCTCTAAAAATTCTGTGTTTGCGTTTTTATAAAATTCGTATGGGATTCTATCTAATCCTGGCGCTTTCCCGTCTTTCGCTTTTTTTACGACCTGCAATATATCACCCACCGTTATAAGTTTATCTACCTCGTAGATTTGTATAAAGTTTGGAGCATACTGCACATCTTTCGCCGTTTGTGTGTAATTAAGAAGATTTTCAAAGTGTGTCTTAAACTCGTTTGGCGCAATTCGTAGATCATTTATTGAAGGCCTATTTCTTAGCTGTTTAACCAGTTTGTACCATTCTTTGCCACTTTTAATCGTATTTATGCGTGTCTCTAGATTTCTATAATATTCAGCTTTACTTTTGCTTTACTTTTCCCCTTTTAAATATTTTACTCTAGTAGTGCTGTTTTTTGTTCTTCTATATTTTTTCAACAAATGTTTAATCTTTTATTTCCCGATAAAGCATCGAAAGTTAAACCATTTGATTTTTTCACAGAGAATCCCTTACATTTTCGTAATTTGGGAGTAGATTTGAGTACAAGTTCAGTTAAGTCTGTTAAGTCCAGGTGTGTTTTATTTTGCAGCTTCGTCCTAACATTTTTTTTAGTTTTTTTGCTATCTATCTTTTTTGCTATCTATCTCTTCGCATCTTTCCATTTGAGAAGCAGTTATCGTTCTGCATTTTGATGTGCTTCACATTGCTATTTGAACTCTACCACCAAATGATCAGACCATGCTTTTACTTTTACCGTAAAGCTTTCTATATATGTTAATATTTCTTGGGAGAGAGTGCATATGTCATTAACAGTAGAACTGTTACTACTTATATATGTTGCGTTACCTTTTTTAACTCCTGCCGTTCTCGCATTGAGCACTATTTGTCAATAATCACAGCACAGTTCAATGAACTTTTTTCCTCTGGTATTAACGACTTTTGATTGACTGAGCTTAACGCCTGATTTAAATTCATTTCTCAATATTCTTCTCAATATTTTGTTATATATATCCTAATATGGCGTTTACACTGGCCGAAACTGGCTCATTTTGAATGATCCATTTGAAAGTGTTTACATTCGTTGTAATTCATTTGTTCTCATTTCAAACAGCTGATTTTCAACTTGTCTGTTAATGTGATTTTTGCCTGTGCCAAAAAAATGTTGTATGAAAGTTTAATAAACCTTCAAACCTTAAATTATGTACTGAAAATATATTTTTAACTTCGATTAAACACTTTTTGGGAAGTAGAAGATCTAAAAAGAAGTGCATCGTTTTGAAGAAAATGCAACCACCAAACATTTCTTTACCTTATATTGTAAATATGTCAAAAACAGCTTTATCAAACTGTCGAAATGCCATGAAGACTTTTTATTTAGGGTATATTCAGTGTATTCATTTGCATTTCGAACATATTTGGAACGTATCCAAACGTCGTTGGGACGCATTCACACAGAATATATTAAAATGGAATGCATTCACGCTTGAAATTTTGTTTTTCTCCACCAAATTATTACCCAGTTGTTCGAAATTATTTTCCTAATCGTTACAATTTAGATATAGCGGAACTATTTTAAGATTTATATATTTTGTTTTTAAGTTGATAACAATAATAATTATTTTATTGATATTGCTGAATATTGATTGCATTTCCACATAGCGGAAATAATCAGTAGAATATGTCTTAATGAATTTATTTTATTAATAATATTTTTCCAATAGTTAATTATAAAATTATAAATAAATACTATATTAATTATTTTACCATATAATACATATCATCAATAATATCTTATATATTGATCAATAATTAGTAGAAAGTATTTTATTAATAATAAATATTGAAAAAAAAATATTTTTTTAGTAATAGTAATATATCGAATAAATTAAGGTAAGGTAAATTGAAATTTATTAGGGATTTTTTGCACTTTTATGTGAATATTTATTTATTGCATTTATATATTGTTTTGGTTAAAAGTTTTCAAATTTATTTATTTATTTATTGAAAATCTTATAAAGGATGTTCACAATGGTGACACTTAATGAACCAAATTTTTATCTAATTTACACTACTCGAAATTCTGGTAAAAACCAAAATTCGCTGCGATATCAATATAATTTACTATTTCTCTCAATTTACCATCAATTTTGATGGTAAACTCGCACACGACCTAGAGTGGTAAATATACACGTGTCATCAAGCGTGGTTTGACAGCCCGCGTGCTTGTGTCAACTGCAGTTACCATAGATGTTGACAGTTGAACGTTGTGTACTTGCATAATACGAACAGCCTGCTAAATATGTAAACTGAATATCTGTCAAGTTTTGTAATGTTTAGTTTAAGGTTATAAATTTATTTTATACAACTTGTTTTAACATGGTCGAAAACTCGGAATCAGACAATGAAATTAGTGAAGACTATTACACATTTCTTAACCTACCAAAAGAAGTTAGTTTTGTGATAAATATTATCTATTGCTATTCCCAGTTCTTCAGTCTACTTTACTATAATTTCAGGCAACATCGGAGCAGATTAATTCTGCTTACCGTAGGTTAAGTAGAATATATCATCCTGATAAACACATTGATCCTGAAAAAAAAAGACATGCGGAGCTATTATTCAATAGAACTAAGCGTGCTTATGAAGTGCTTTCCGATCCGCATAAAAGAGCAATATATGATTCTATTGGAGAGAAAGGCTTAAGAACAGATGGATGGGAAATTGTACATCGAACAAAAACTCCATCCGAAATTCGGGAAGAATATGAACGCTTAGCACGAGCAGCAGAAGAACATAAATTGCAACAGCGAACCAATCCACGGGGAAATGTCACTATTGCGGTAAATGCAACAGAAATATTTGCACCATATGATGAAACAGAGCTTCCCCGTATAGAAGTTTCTTCAATGAGTATTTCGCAGTCGATTGAAGCTCCCATAACACGTAAAGATACAGTTACCTTAGGCGGAACTTTAAATTCATCAAATGGCAATGGTAGTGGAAATTTCGTTGTGTGTGGTAGAAGATTACTTAATAAAGGATGGTTACAATTGGATTTGGGAGTGGGCAATGGACCTTTGTTGTGTGTTAAAGGTTTTATAGATGAATATAAACATTATATTGTTATGTAATTATTATCTTGTACAGGTGGAAGAACGCTTAATTCAACGTTCTCGGTAAATGGAGGCACCTCATTAAACTTTCGTGAGAATGCTATACTACCTGCAATTTTTTCCACACTAGCAGTTCAGTTGGATAAGCATACCGTCGGGTCATTGATTTTAAATGCTGGAAGTCAAACTTCGTTAACAACGCAAATAGATCGTTCATCAGAAAAATATTCCTTAACAACTTCCTTTGTTATTGGAAGTCCGCATATATATTTCAGTATAATGTACACACGAAAAATGTTAGAAAATGAATTAAAAGTGAAGGTTTCTACCAAGTAAGTAAAGTAAATAAATTTACATATATACATATTTTTATTAGCATTATCTCTAAATTTATATTAACTGCTAGTGATGGACAAGATTACGGATAAATATCAAATAGAAAAAAAATTTACATTTTTCAAGATAAACTTCCAAATTAAAGATTTGTTCGAAATTGACTTTTTGTTAAACTTTACTTTTGTTTTGTTAAATCTTCCAATATTTTGCACTAATATGAAGGTAACCTATATCGCTAAAGACTAAATTTTTTTAACATTCGTAAAATACTAAAACAGTTTTCTTTATAATATTATATCAAAATGGATATTTTTTAAACAAGTTATTTGAATATTTTTCACTACACATCACTGTTACCAGAAGTACTCATTGTTAAAAATAACTTCTGATTGTACTTTCGTCTTTTTTCTATGGCAATAATTTCATAATAATTCTCTAAAATTTCTGATTAAAAATAAATTTCTCACACCGTGCTAATTCTGTACACTGTTCGAAAAATTAGATTTGCAACTGATTACAGGAAAGCGGTATGAAATATGTGGACATATTAGTAAGGTATTGATATACCAAAAACGAACATAAACTACTTTTTACAAAATTTACATTTAGATATGAAACAACCTGTATTTAATGTATATTTATAATAAATGTGTAATTTATTAGTATATTATATTAAATAAACTGTTCGCTTTACTTTACTTGAAAAATAAAGCTTTTTTTTTTACATATGTGTTGCTATGTATCATGAAAAATATATAAAGAAATGCACAGTTGGAGTTATGCAGTTTAACTACATTGTTTAGGATGAAGTCTTCTTTTGGAATGTGGAATACTTACCAATAGTAACGGAATGCCAAAAAAAAGTCAACAGTTATTTCCTAGTCTATCAGTTTCGACATTGTTGCATTAATTACAGATATAATTTGTCGTACTTTTACAATTATTTGTAAAGCCATTGTGATTATTTAAAATATTATATCATTCGATTTAGCCTTATTTGAAGACTTATAGTGTAGAACTGTTTGAGCTAGTGTTGTTGCAAAACTTTCCTTAATATTAGACTTTCATATGTGAAAATTGCTCTTATGGGTTTGCATTTTCAATTTTTTTTACTTAAATCATTTGTTTATTAAATAGGCCAAATAATAACTATTAACGGACTGACGTATTAATAAATATAATAATATTAATAAAAACTTTATAATGTTAATATTTACTGAAGTAATTATAATATTTCAGACTTGGAACATTTGGTTTTCTAGCAGAATATGGTGCTGAAAAAAAAGTTTCTAAATACAGTTCAGTGTTTGCCTCAGTTTCAGTTGGTGTACCTACGGGAGTTATACTTAAATTTAAGTAAGTCTATCTTTTATTTATTATATTTTTATTTAATTTCATCACTTTTTAGAATAAATCGCTCAAATCAGTCTTACATATTTCCTATTCATCTAAGCGAGGAAATCGTTCCGGCAGCAATATTTTATGCTTCGGTAACACCGATTTTACTCTGGTTTGTAGTTAAAAAAACTATCATTGATCCTATTAAAGAAGACCGTAGAAGTTCTGAGATCGAAAGAACTAAGCAAGCCAATGAAGAACGCTTACTATTGAAGAGGCAAGAAGCACATGCTGCAATTGAATTAATGCATCAGACTTATGAACGAATTGTATCAGAAGAGAGCTCTAGGCAAGGTATATTAATAAATAAAGCAACTTACGGAAAGCTACAAGAGGGAGGATTTGATTTTTCGGAGGAAGCTTCAATTGATGTAACAATTCCAGTACAGTGCCTAGTAAGAGATAGTACGCTAACATTGTACAACGCTTCAAAGGTTGTTTTCATTAACTTATTATTTGTACTGTTATATAATTATGTTTTTATAGAGTCAACTGCCTGGTTTTTATGATCCTTGTGTTGGGGAAGACAAAGTGCTTAATATAGATTATACATTTAATGATCACAAACATGAAATTGTCGTTAAAGATTTAGAATCAATTCGATTGCCTTAGTAAACTTTACTTGTATATACAAATTAAATTTAAATAAATTTAATATTTTGTTTTTAAGCGATTTGTATCTAATAAAATATTACTTATTTAGTATTTGCTTACTAAAACTAACTATGAATATTTCAAATCAGTAAACATTCTATTTAAAGGAGGTAAAAAAATGCTAGAAATATTAAAATAATCACAGTGTTACTAACATTAACTGATTTCAATTATTAGTTACATATAAAATTTTTTATCGGCTAGCAGACAAACCAAATGAAAAAGATTTTTAAATTAAAAAAAAAAAAACTTTTTCATTTGGTTTGTCTGCTGGCCGATAAGGAATTTTATATTAAAATAAAATCAAATCAGATAATAAAAATACAAATTCAATTATTAGCACACGATTAACATCATTATAAAAAATAAATACCATACAATAAAATATTAAAAGACGAAAACAATGCCAAATATTAATTTTTATCATACAACAACAAAATCATGAAGAAACCATAATATATGCGGTGTTTTAGATGATCTGCTTCAACTACAAGGTGGTCCCCGACCTTAAAAACAAAAGTATATGATTCATTAAGCTTATATGCCATGAGGATGGAATCAAATACATCGGCAATATCAATTAAAAAATAAAAAATTACAAACTTCATGTGTTATAATTTAATACATTGATTTACTAAAAAAAATCGTATAGGTGGTGCGACCTTTTCAATATTTACCGAGTTACTGATTATTTATGAGGATTCTATTGAAAAAAAAAACATAACGAAAAATAACCCCAATATCTGAAAAATAGTTCATTCAAGTAATTATTAAGTTCTATGTCGAATTTAAGTTCATTGAATATCCTGTAATACCCATTTATTAGGAAGCTTCATTTTTCTCATTTTTTGTGTGTTCATTTTAAATCAGGATCTCGATATTTTGCATACACGTTTTGTGACAGAAGTTTCCTTTTATTGCCGTTTTCCAGTAATCGGCTTTTCCAGTTGCTGCAGCCCAGATCGATTTTTTTCAATTGTTACAACGATTCTATTATCTTTTCAGAATATCTTGTGTAAAAAATGCATCAAAATGTACATTAACTCTTAATTTCGAAAAGCTATTTAATACTTAAAATCAAAACTAAAAAAGAAAGTTAATTTTGTGTGTAAGTATTCAATAATTTCCATGTAATTTGCTTTTAAAGTTAAATGAATTCGTGGAGAGACTCTTGATTAAGAACTAAAACCAATCGTATGATGGTTGGATCGGTTATCAGCGTTAACGATGATACTAAATAGCATGAAAAAAGTACACTTATCAAAGATATGTTGTTCTAGTATCAACTCAGTATCAAATAATAAATAGAAATATTTACTGGCATAATGAATTATTGAATCAAATTCATTTTTTTGATATATCTCTGACAAATAATATAACATAAGCCTCGTATCATATGTAGTAAAGTTATAGTTAAAAAATTGTGAGAAAAATAACTTTTCAAATAGAAAAAGCCAGGAGTAGTGAATGCGGTTTTTACGGGAAACTCAATCATCCGAGAATTGGAACATATTGCAATAAAGCTTATCCCTTGAAAAAGTCTTGTATTAGAAGTGACTGGCTAAATGGAAAACCGACAGTTATGAAGAATCTCTGGCATTTGCTCGTTATTTGTATTTTGAATTAAGTAGTAAATTCACCATGTTCTTGCAATGGGTTTTTGAGTTGTGTAGGCAGGTTTGTTGTCTTGATATGAAATGCTTCCTTCTTCCGTAAATCGTGTTGTTTGGGTAACCTATTAACAAAATTTCTTTTGTATCTTGAAATGTTAATACCTTGTCTGATTTGTAGAAAGGAATTTTCTTCACATTCGAATATGTTTAAGCTGCATTATTAACCAATAAAGCACAATGTGCACATTACTTTTGAAATCCAAAATATGGTATTAAATATTGGTCATTGCAGCTCCATGAAATGACTAGACCTTTTGCTAAATTTTTATGACGATCTCCCACAACTATATCATATATTTTCGAGACACTTTCTTGTGTTTTTGCTGTTTTTATACGTCATTCACGTAGATTGTGTTCATGGCCATTAGGATAAATTTAGACAGATTAGTCAAACAGATCAAGCGCAAAGCATTATTTGAAGAAGGCGTAGAATCTCCTAATAGATTAACCATTTCAGCATAAATTTTCATTGTCTTGAAAAATACACATTAATTTTAAATGACTTCTAAGCAAATAAATTAGTTGAAAGATGGTACGGTACTGAAATCTTGCTTTATTCTGATAATATATGACATAATGAAACGTCATTATAATTTTAGTTTTACCCTTGATAAATAGATGGTTCTTTGTGAACTTATTGAACAATCAAGTATAATTCAATTAAATATTTATTCGCTACATGTAAATAAATAACCTTAGCATAACAATGTTTTAGGAAAATATTTTTAAAAACTTATAAACAATCTCTTAGTTTCAATTTTCCTACAATAATAAATTGTTGTAAAAAACTGAATATATTGTGATTTAGCAATATAAGGAACTAAGGGGAGTTCCCGAATTTTCAGGATTCTAAGAACGGTCGCGTCTACGTATTGGATCCATTCGTAGAGACGACCAAGTATCGTTTGCTACACAAACAGATCTTTACGGGTTACAACACCAACAAAACGCTGCCAATTGCGATTTATTTTTTCTGATAAAAACAGTCCCAATTAAACAAATTATAAACAAAACTACCTACCTACCTCCCTGTAGACAACTAAACAATTCGATCAGCAATAGTAGATATATAAACCTATTCTATGTCGTTACACAAGAAGTCAACACCAATGGGTAAAATACAAAACTGCATACATTTCAACCACAGAATGGCCTGAACTGTTGTACACAATATTCTACAAACTAAGATAAGTTCTAAAAGATAGTCGAGTATTGATTTGCTGAGGAAGACCCTTCTGCGTGAATAGATGAAAACTCCTTAGCATCACATTGATGCAACATGCAACGCGGTTATTAATTGATTCAGAGCCATAGTTTGTGTATGAAGCAGCTATTTCGAAATTTCAAATTTAATTCAAAAAATTTGTTTTTCATTTATTTTCTTGGGTTATTAAACCCAAAATACAGTATTTTAAAAACACTTTTCCCTTCCATTTCTTAAACAAAACTGAATTTTATTTTAAAGTCAATTTTAAAACAAAAGAAAATTTAATTGAATTTTATATTACTTATTCCATTTTAATTTTGATCTTAATTTTGTTCAAATTCTGTTTATTGGTGTCTAATTCAAATGTCGATTGAATCAAATCACTCTCTGCATTTACAATATGAATCAGTAAATTCTGACCATATGTGAAATAACCTCATCTGACTGAAATTATTGATTCTCCTGAGAGTGTGCCCTTTAATGCAATGTGGAATTTTTCTAATATGTATGGTCTACTTACTATATAAAGTGTTCTACATTAAATCTATTCTAGGTTGACGCATTACAATCTGACGGTGCACTGCCAACATTATACAGACATGATTTCAAAATTATTTTGTCGTATTCAATTCTGGACTGCTTTTCAACTATTTGAACAAGTGGTAGTAGCTCATAATTGATGCCTTTGGAATGTTATCCTATCGTAAATCCGGGCATAAACACTATTTATGAAGTTTTTTTCTATTTTTTCGTATGAAGACCAGTTTTGTATATTATTATCATATGAGATTCAATTTTCATTGTGTTGCCACAGACTTCTTATCGAACTAAAGATTTACAAAAAGCATAATTAGTATTTGAATACATTATAAATTCATAGACGTATATACCTAAGTGGAATGCTCGAGATCTAAATATTGGCTTCTCCTGAGAGATCGTTTAGCGCAGCGATGGAAAAACGGAACGTGAAATTATTTTGAACCGAATATAATTCTTTATTGTTTGGTTTATATTGTAATAATTATTAAAGTTTCAAATTGAACTCTTTAAAATCATATTTCAAAATTTTGTACATATAACGAAAGCACAATTTTTTAAAATACTTTATTTTCTGTTTATGCAGTGTTCTTTTTCTGACTTTCGTGATTTATAAACGTGATTTCGATCGATAATACTCTTTAGACATATCATAGCATCTAAAAACTTAGAAAAAAACTAGGGATTTATATTCGGTTTGAGAAAAAAAATAAATTTTGAAATTATAGTCATTATAAAAGAATGACATATTATATGTTCTTTTATTATTTTTATTTTACTATTTTTTATTATTATTATTATTAATTATTATTATTTAATGTTAATTATTTTTGCAGAAAGCCACGCTTTTTATAACTCAAAGAAGCTATTTTTTTTTTTAATTTAGGAGGGTTCGAATAGAAATGAAAAGACATGAACAAAAATTAGTTAATTTATTGAAATTGGGCTGATCATACACGCTGTTTTGAGTATTGTTAAGTAATCATCATCAGTAGTCTTAGGAAATATTCGAATTTTTTAAATTAGTTTATAGTTCGTATATAATTTGTTTAGGCTTTCAATGCTCAAGTTCCAGTTTTTTGTCACTTTTTACTTTTTAAGTGACACTAACCAAAGCAATTGCCGTGCTTTAAATTTGAACGAGGTTATAAACTACAGATTTATTTGGGAACACAAGTTCAAGGAATCAAGAAAGTTGATTTATGCGGTTTCCTGTTTTTATGTCAAAGCTATTCTTTTTGCAGAGACATCTGTTATAAATTTTTTAACTTACTATATGTAAAGCGCCTTTTTGGTGCCATTTTTCAAAGAAGCTATACAAATGTTACTTTACAATTTCGCTAATCGCGATAAGGAAAAGCAGCACAATATTACATATATATATTATATTATATATATTATATATATATATTATATTATATATATTATATATATATTATATTATATATATTATATACAGTATTATTGTAATACCAATTTTTTTATGTTATTTATTTTTGCCGAAAGCTACGCTTCTTATGACGGTAAAGAAGCTGTTTATTTTTTTTTTAGTTAGAAGGGTTCAAATAGAAAAGAAAAGACAAGATCAAAAATTTAGTTAATTTATTGCAATTTGGCTAAGCATACAGTTATTCTATTATTATTATAATTATTTATTATTATTATTATTATTATTATTATTATTATCAATTTTATCATTAAATATTCTAAAATTTACAAACTATAAAATTTTTTTAATTTATTTATCTACCAGTTTATTAAAATGGTTTCTTATATATTTTTTAATCTGGCTGTAGGTCTATTCTTGTTATATAATTCAACGTTTAATATTTCTTATTATTCTCTATATTTGCAATATAGAGGAAGGAACAAAAAGGATGACGTATATGTAGTTTTAATAATATTAACTTATAATCATAATCCTGATGATGACTCTCAAGAAGAGTCGAAATATAGAGTATAATAAAAAATATGAAACATTGAATTATTTAACAAGAAGGAACCTACAGTCAGATTAAAAAGTATATATAAAAAACCATTAAAATTTATGAATTTATTAAAATCATAGATTTGTATCATAGTGTATCATAGATTTATAAGCTTATTTCTATATGTAAGTTTATTATTTTTATTACATAAATTAGTAAAAGAATTATTTCTCGTTAAGGGTCATCGATTTTTTTAAATATTTATTATGTACCTTACCGTACCTTATATGAATGGCCATATGCGTATGCGATTGTCAAAAAGGTTATTTGAAAATTATTTATTTAGCAATGAATATTGAAACTTTAATTAGATGTCATTGTTGCAATATTTTGTAAATATTGCCTAATAAAAATCACAAGTAGATTTTTTATGATTCATTAATTATTAAAATTTCCGACATCTTTGCTTCTTTTTGTTTTATGAAAACTAAGTATCCACAACAAAAATAAAAAAATACAACGTTATTTACAAGGCAGCACTTTTGCAGTTGCGCCTGCGCGTTCCGGTTGTTTATTGTTCAATGCTCTCTGCATATATCACTATTCACTATATTGTATTAGTTAAAAAATTTGAGCTCAATCATAAGCTTGCTGGTGCGCAAAACTTCAGACGTTTGCGAGATTTCGGCCCAAGGAGGTCGGTTTATCAAGACGGTCTTCCGCTTGTTTTCTTTTACTTTCATTAAGAAATACATAAACTGTGTGTGTGTGCAAATTTTGTTAGGAGGTGTCAACTCTTTATGATGAATTTAAGAGCATTGTGAAGGATGCTAAGCAAAGTTAATAGTTAACAGTTAACAGTTAACAGAACTTGCTATTTTAAATTCGTAATTTTATAAACAAAAAGAAAAAAAAGAAGTGAAAATCTAAAAAAAAGTTCGTAAAAATGTGAATATGATAAGTGCGATTCGCCAGATATAAGATCATTAAGAAGTATAATGAAATTACATAAATGCTTCAATGCTTAAATGCTTAAATGACTACATGCTCGTAGGTATATAAGTATTCCATGGATACAGATGTGTATATATGTATATGCCCGCAGCAGTATTTGTACGCGTAACAGCTCTGTGTTAATTCGAAGCAACAAATTTTGTGCAAGCTCTGTTGCAAGTGAAAGTGATTTTATTTCAGTTGCCTTTCGCAATCTGCTTTTACAATTTTCCTCTTTCAACTAATTTTTTATTTGTTTGTTGTTCGTTAAAAAGTTAATTTTTTTTAAATTGTTTTCATCTTTGTTGCAATCTCAACTTATTTTTTTTTTTTTTAATAAAAGCTTAACAGAAAAGTAAAATTCAAAAGCGATCATAAAAAATTATAGCGTAATAATAGTGAATAAATACCTAAAACTCTTAATTCACAATAATATAATATTGAATAAGAGGTGTTAAAGCAATTTTTTGACTTGGATTAATCTCTCAGAAATTGTAAGATTAAATTAATTAAAATTTATCCTACTGTTTAAAATTATTTTTCTTATATATATATTTATTTAATATACAAGCGTAAAGTGTATGTAAAACGAAATTTTTTAATTTTCTATGTGATGAGATTTTTAAATGGTATACTTCATTAGATTGTTTAATTTAGTTTGTATTAGAATAACATTAATAATTTTTTTTAAACACAATTTTACGACGATACATTTCTTATAGAACAATACAATTCAAACTGTAAGTTTTTCAAATATAACTGTGTTCTAGCAGATGATTGAATCATTTTCATTTTCATTTGGCTATCAGTTAAAATGACTACACTGTATGTAGTATTCTTGATGTAGTCTGCAATTAGCCATGGTATTCTTTTAAGCATTAAAAAATCCCCTTCAAAATCTATTAGATATCCTAAAGGAGTGATTTATGTCTACGACTTATAAAAATACTTCTGAACTTACCCCACAGTTTATGAACTATCTGTAAAATTTGGTGTAAAGTAGATTGTTTGAAAGTTCATACTTTTACGATTTATTATTGAACATATGTGCCATTTACGCATCTTTGCTACAAGGAGTTCATATTCAGATACATATAAAAGTATTCAAATCAGTATAATAATTGCAACATTTTTAAGTATTTATCTATTTAATTGTAATTAATTTAATATATGCACAAAATGCTCGTGACTTCTCTTAAATATCTGACTGATCATAACATCGACCGGTGGTTGATTTTACTTTTCAAAATCCAACTTGTTTAGTTGATTAGTTGCAGTGACAGGTCGGCAGACACTCCTTCACTACCATAATAAGCGATTTTTTGTGATTTTATTACCATATTTTCCGCAAGAAATCTAAAGAGATAAAAACTAAATCCATTTTGTTAAATTAGGCAGTAAGACGTCAGTGAAGTACTTCCTTTAAAAACCGTTTCGTGTTAAAATCAAAATTGAGCAGCAGTTGTCACCACTTCTGCAATTAGTCTTGAAAGGAATGTATAACAATCCTTGCTTAATAGAAGTAAACCAAGAGTGGATTTGGTTCACGTTTCTCTATGTTGGTTCATATATATGAATGAATATATGATATATGAATGATATATGAATGTAAGTCTTGTTATAGTCGCATAGTTTCTGTTAATGTTTTGCTAGGATGTTTTTTCACCTATTATTAGTTAACTGAAAAAAGTAGATTTAAGTGCTTCTCATAACGAATTCTAGGGGAACAGGGGGACACAATTCAGGTACATGCATGGAAGGAAAAAGACACACCAAGTCGATTGTCTTTCATTACTTTCAATGCTTCTATGTTTGATAACTCATTTGAAATTGATATTAATAAGTTGATTTAGCTGGTCAATTTTCGCTCTGCACTTTCAATTTTCATTTGACTGCCCAATGAAATGAGTTAAAATGACTATACTGTATGTAGTCTTGATGTAGACATTAGCCATGATATTCTTAAGCATTAAAAAATCTGCTCAAAATTTACTAGCTAGCCTAAACACTTCTGAACTTAGCCCACAGTTTGTTTCTAACTATCTGTAAAATTTGATATAAAGTAGTTTGTTTGAAAGTTTTATTCTTTTTCAGTCGTTTCTTGATAGAAATTTGATCTAAAATTAACTTGAAATTGTATATACCGACGTTTTGGGTTGCTTCTAAAAGACTATTTTTATATGGATGTCAAACTACTTCCTTGTTACTCTTATTCAAAATATAGCATTTGTCTTTCAAAATTTGTCTTAAAAGCTTCAAAGACTCTCTTGATTTTTATATACAGACTATTGGGTCTTTGTTTCTCCAACCTATGTCAGTCTTTATTTTTGGAATGACAGTTTTTCCGTAACTTTATTTATCAATTGCTAATATAAAATAAAATACTATATTGCTTAGTCCTATTTAACTAGCTTTTGTAGGTTTATTCAATGGTATTCTAAAAAATCTGCAGAGTTTATAATAATTTCGACATCGTTATTTAGGTAAAATTGTTTTATAGCTGGGGTTTCGTTTACGTAACCGATTTGTTTCTTCGGATTCGGACTTTTTTTTATTTTGGAAAAATTTTTTTTTTTTATTTTACATTTTGAAAAAACTGTTTTTTCGACTGTTACTTCTTAAATGTTTAGTAAATTTCCTTATCCCTTGTAAGTTCGACTTCCAGGGACTATTTGAGGTATCTTTAATAACAATATGTATATATACATAGCTTTAAAACTTAAATGAAAACTTTTTATTATTATGAAATTCACTTTTTTTTATTTTATAATAGACAAGTATATAAATTTCTTTATAATGATTGAAACCATTACTTCGGTTTTCAGGCCTGTTGCCTCTTCGTGTTGTTAATTCCCCAACTCTATTGCTGCAATTATAGATAATTGTTATTACAAAATTTGTTAAAAACATAATTTTGAACATTTTGATGAATCAATATTTTGCTTTCAAAATGTTATTGTATTTACACAACGCATAAATTTGTTAGAAGCATTAATTTTTTTTAATTTTTATTTTATTGAATGCCATTAAAAATTGTTATGCTGATCTTGAACTTGTTATACGATATTATGTATCTCCATACATACATACCTATATGTATGTTTGTGCATAACGACTTGTGAAAGAGTTACAAATGTATAAAAGTTTATATAAAAGTTAAAAGTTATTAATTTGCAAATAATAATATGCGACAAAAAAAAAAAAATATAAATAAATAAATTTATATTTTAACTCTATTTTTATATTTCTTCGTTTCTTCTCTGGCTCAGTTGACGCGTATCTTATACCAACGATTTTACTTATTATACAATCTTTAGGATATATTTACGTATGTTGGTATTTGCAACGACTATGTAGCAATCCGCGAACCGACGATTTTATTCATATACACATCACTCTTGCTTTTTCGGATTTGTTGCATAACCAGTGAAATTTTTTAAAGGTTAAATATGTATAAATACGAGTATATAGAGTATTACGTTACTCCCGTGTGCAAATACTGCAGTAACTAGTAAAAGATACATTTGATGTAAAAAAATGTGAACTGCGATAATAAATATAAGCGTGATTCGCAGTAGGAAACTCTATGGTGCTCATAATTTTAAATATAATTAAAAAAAAAGAATATTAAAATAGCAAAAAAATTTTCCTTAAATTCGAACAAAAATAATTCTTTAAATAATACTATGGAAACAATCGGTTAATGAAAATTAGAGACGGTTCTTATGATATATAAATATTATATGGAATTTTATTTCCACTTTCTGGTCCAATATCTTTTACTATCTTTCTAGCAGTATTATAATTCTATGTTCAAAAGTAATGATATTTGCAGACAAAACACGGATCAAGCAATTTAAAGTGAATTCATTACGAAATCATTTTACAAAGGCATTTTGCGTTTCTAAAATTTTAACATCATGTTAGCATATACCTAACGGAATGATAGACCCGCCATCCTGCTTTCGTAAAGATCATCGTGATTAATTCAATTTAAACGCAGTGATATCTGGTAAATAAGCCTTGACTACTTATTCAGAGGCTCCTTAAAATAATTTGTATGTTTATATAAAATAACACTAACACTTATTGTTAGGCTTTAATTTAAAGCGATTCAATAAAGACATATTAGTAAATAAAAAAAAAAATGTTGACATATTTCAAGTTCCATTATTACATCACATCTCTTAGTATCATTAGATTTTCCGTGTGATTTAATACATCTTAATCTCAGTTGATCAATTGATATCTAAATAAGCAACTTCTTGTTTTGTGATCATATATTGTACATTGTTTCAATATCGTTAATATTCCTCGAATCCTAGTAATAAAATTCATATATAAACAGAGCAACATTAAAATATATTTTAATAATTATTTCAAAAACAATATGTGTTTAGTTTAGTTTTTGACCGGATCAAAAAAGAGATCAAGTTTCCATTTAGATATGAGTATTGTGATCATCAGGTCTCTTTTACTACAATTCTTCTTTATTCAACAAATTATATACCAGATTATGAATAAAATAAAATAAGTATGTAATTCGTAAAAGAGTTTCTGTTAACAGACGAAGTAAAAGCTCCTTCAGCGGTATCGTTTTCCTGCAACATTCATATAGAACAGGACTCGGCGCATAATCCATATTCGGTCCGCGGATAATATACATGCGGCCCGTGACATGTTTCTAAATTACATTATTTTATTTTTATGATATCCAAAGAAAAAAAAAATTTAAATAACCATATGCTATTAATAAAATTAAATTTTACATTATCGCAGTGTTGAATTTTTCTTTGTTTACTTGTTTATGCATCTGGTCCGGACAGCCCTGATATCGAATATGACTGGATTTTTTATCCTCTCCCAGATAGAAATGATATTTTACTATCTCAAATCGCGATCTATCTTGTGAAGATGGTAATATAGGTCTTTGATCTAACGGTTATCTTAAAGGTCACTGTTGTAGTTATGCGTTTCAGCATTTTCACACTAATTAGTAAGAGACTTAGTTGTGATTTTAATATACAGAACTCTTGCAGTGAACTGATTATTATTATATTAGTGATATTTTTGCAGAGAAATGTTATATACATATTAAAAAATTTTATAAAAAGATGCAGATTGTTTAGTATCTTAAAAAATACTGGTATTTGATAAGTCACGACATTGAGTGCAGCCTTGTTAAATAAGATAAATAAGAAAATCGATGATTGAGTGATTCACGCCGGAATTCCTAAATATTCACCAATGATAGATATTAAGCAATGGTCAGACAAGGAATTCAGTTCAATATAACTACATTAAATGGTAGGTATGACAAAAGGTGAAAATATGGCCAATGCTTAGATTAAAAAACCTGTTTTCAATTGGTGCTTTCATTTCCAATGACATAGTTTTTATTTCAGATAGAAAGACGATTAACAGTGCATTGATAATTTTAAATGTTAATCTTTGAAAATGCCGAGTACTTTTTGCCCAATCGAATATACTTTTT